TTTTTTTTTTTTTTTTTTTTTGGCCCCCAGAAGTTGATGAGCATGGTCTCTCACGAAGTCGCCATCCTGATCGCGTCCAAATTCCTACTGGCCATTGGACAATACAGTGGCGGGCAAACGCGTCCTGCTATGCATCGTGATCAGCTCAAATTGTCGCGTCAAGAATACCAGTTGAAGATGAATCAAGAGTGATAAAGTCAGGGTTAGGAAGGCTAGTTAAACGATCCTTCATCTCTTGAAAATCCCCGTTTCTGGCAGGTGTAATCTGAAGTCTAGCGGCAGGACAATTAGCGGACAGCGCGCTAAAGCCATGCCGCAACGAGGGGTCCCGTTACCAGCCAGCGCTGAAAATACGACAACCGTGGCAGAGAGTCGTTACTGGCTCTTGGCGATTGCTCCCAGTGGAGATTTGCGCCGGCATAGCTTCTGCCGTGGTAAACCCCCAACTGAGCATTGGATTATGACAGATCCTTGGGAGGACTTGATCTCATGCACAGCTTGTGAGGATCCATCGGGTACTTGCAAAGATGCAATATGTAAACAATTAGCTAGAGATTTGCACCTAGCTTTTCGCATTCATCGTCGCAACAATGTCTGAGGGTTGCATTTGATCTGCGAAATATAAAATAATTACTCCTTGGAGAAAGGGCTGGAGACACAATTGTGGACGAGCTAGGCAGTATCATGAATCAAACGTATTTATACATAAAACGCTATCTTCTGTACCAAGATCAGATCCGATGACGCGAATGAATTGCATATTGAAAGCGATCTCATACTTTTGCGACTTCAGGCACTCTTGGGCTTGGGTCGCCGTCCCAGGAACCTAAGCCACCGCGACTTTGCACGCCAGCTTTGAGCATCCTCATCGGCCTTGCTGAACGATCGCTTCCAGATCTGCATGCCCTTCAAAGACCACCAGTACCACCCTCCCATGACCAAGATCGTCAGTGGCAGTGAAAACGCCCAGTAGATCCAAAACTTGTCGGAAATGTATGACGCTGCCGAGTCTGATTCTGTGCCCGGTTGCCAGTTGAACATGCTCATGCTGAAGATTGACGCTACAACAGTGCAAGGCAGGAATAATGCAGTGATGAAGGTGAACACAAAGGCCGACTGCGCCACTACAACAGCAACATGTGTTAGTAATTGCCATTTTTGGAAGTTGAAGGGGTACGAAGTCGCAAAGGACAATCTCCGGGCATGCTGTCTTGTGGCACCAGGTCGTGAATACTATACTTATGAGACAGCCCGCGACTGGGCCTAGAAGAAATAATGCAAGGAGCAGCTTACTAGAATTGCTCTCGTGGCTATCTTGCTGGCTGATAATGCTGAATAGAAGATCGGCTTGAATCTGGGCACGTTCCTGTGCTTCCTGAGCCTTCATGTCTGTTTGCCTGAGCAGAGTGTCCGTCCAGGCAGAGTATTGGTCCAGTTCATTTGCATCCGTCAAAATTTTCCCTGTAGCTTTCAGACTTTTCTTTACCCAAGAGTCCATTTCTCCAAGGGCTTGCTGCATCTGCCGGACCTTTGCCAGTTTGTTACGTGCGCGTGCCAACGTGTACAAACAAGAATGTAACTTGGCCGCATTTGTTCGAACGTCGACATTTTGTGGCCAGTCGTGTAATTTTGTCCCGTCCTTTTCCCAAGTTCGTGTAGCACCAAGCTCGCGCTCAGTTTTTATTATGGTCCATTGCAAATCACCGATGTGAGTAGACCATGCCTCAAGATATATTTGCATGAAAGCCTCTGGCAAAACGCGAAACTGCTTCCAGGATTTGTGCAAAATCAACAGCTCACCTAGAGCATGCTCAAAGATACCCTCGTCGTCTTGAGTCATAAGGAATATTGCATCTGTACGCTGCCTTCCCTGATCATACCTTAGGCTCATCGTCCAAGCAGTGTTTCTTTTGATTGGCTCGAAACGAATGACGGACCAAACACTACCATCACTTGAGGACTCCTGCCGATTCGACCAAGTGAAATCCAGGTCAAAATATCGATCCATGTGGTGAAGCGTTTGGGTCGTCGCAGGATGTAGCCCAAAGTCCCTTTCGATCGCTTCAAATGCACCTCGAGGGAGCGGCAGACCGTACCGAGGGTACTTGGCCACCATCTTGCAAACAAGCAGACGAATCGTGATATCTTCTTGATGCCTCGTTTCTGCAATCCATCGGTCGACTTCCTCCTCAAAGATTGCATCGTTGACCATTCCATCAGGCTGACCAAACTCACACATGTCGCACCGTTGCTGCCCAGGAATATCACTCCAACGAAATTCAAATGCCCGCGCATAGTTTCGCCGGCCTGGTTTGCCCTCTGCATCCACGCTCCATGGTATGTGATTCATAGTGTAATCTCGCTGATCATGTAACGAGGACTGAGGCCAATGCCCATCCCTGGTTCCCCGAGGGTGAACCGGTGAGCGCGGCAAAGACCAAGAAGGTTTCTCATGTTGGTCCATTGTTGCGCGCGACTCTCTAGATTGCCTTCTCGGGTTTCCAGGGTCTGGCCCGGTGGCATTCGAGTCTTCAGGTAGACACTTGGGGCGCGTAGATTGGCGGCTTCGATTCATGGCGAAAAGTACTGTATGCTGTATACGATTTGAGAATCTCGGTATATTTGTGAGCAAGACGAGAGGCCCAACCCCCAAGAATACAAGATAGAAAGCCTTGCGTTCTGCCCTTTGCTGACACCGCCCCCAAAGCAGCAAAAGATAAGCGACCTGCAGCTCGCCTGTTCGGTGCACATCTCCATGCATGCGCGCCAAGTTCCCTCCACCAATGTGCACTGTATCTGGCGCGCAATTTCTTCAAAGACCACCAATAGCCTGAGAACCTTTGAGATGAATGATGTGCAGAAGTGCTAAACTTTCGGGAACGGCTTTCTTCGGTAAGATTTCGTCCGAGTCGGTCATTTTTATTATAACCAATTAGGACACAAAGGATTTCATGCACCGACCGAGCTTGAATTATATAGGCCTCGTAGTAGTGCCTGGCGCCGTTGCACGGGGGTGGAATAGCGGGCAGTAGCTCTGCTACCGATAGGGATCTTTTATCGTGTTGTTTTCTATTGTCAAACTCAACAGCAACGGTCCCGAATGGATTGCCTTGCACTGCGATTTTATTCTGCAAAGCGACGAATTCAATCTAGAATCTTGTTCCTTGCTGCACTGCACGTCGCTTGGGTCGAGATCCCGGGATACGGAGGCCACAAGTCGTAGCCTTGAAGGCCCAAGATATCTAGTGGATAAATCCTCTGACGCCCCGCAAAAACCGTTATAGTGCCTGTTGCTCGTCATTGACCGTGTCGGTATTGTTCCCATTGCCAACCTGAACTGGATCTTGATTTCCCACAAATAAGTCCAAGGCCGCTCGTCATCTGGATCCAAACCACCTGCCAGCTCCTTCCACTCTGCGTCAAAGATGCGACTATCCAGTGGTGGATGTTGATAATTGAACTCGACACCAACCCCCGCAAAAGCCTCGGCCACGGCGAGCCGGTCAAACTTGTCATTGAGCTCCTGCGTAAAGACGCTCCTCGCACTACACGTAATGTGCTTCAGGGCCCTGAACTGATCCATGTGCCGAATGCTTCAGCGAGCGCCAGAAACATTTCCACAAAACAGGGAAGCGCATTGCCCGGACAGCCCACCAAATGCAACGAGACTAGATCGGGCGGTAACATCCTGACGAGCCTCTCGGGAACAGAATTCTTAGTGTCCTGTCGGTGCGTGCAGACGGCTGTGGAGCTCATATGAAGCTTCTTCAGCGCCGAGAAATGTCCAAGCCCGGCCAAGGGGCTGGGCCATCCTCCCGAGTGCGATTCGATCTTCCAAGTCTTCCAGCACGAGTTGACTTGGGTCAAGCGTATGCCCACGATGAGAGATTAATGTAGGGTACCAAAGTTATGCGAGCAAGTTGAGCCGGATGATCTGGACTTGTTGGGTGAAGCTAGAGCTCATACGCCATGTTGGCATGAAAATTGACCAAGAAAAGTCTCATTCAAGAAAGCATAAGTCTATCGATTTGAAAGCGATCCAGAGGCTATATGGAACCATAATTTACTGGTGAGAGGTGAAAATAAATCGAACTCTTTGTGACTTGTCTATTATCCATGACCCAGCATAATTCCCCAAATGATCAAGAAACAAAAAGTCAGAGATAGCTAGTATAGTGGCTACGAGGGACTGACATATTCTGGCATCGCTCGTAGTCCCAGTGACTGTTCCAATGCAATTCGCTGATAAGATGCCCCAATAAACGCCAATAGTTGGAAAATGCGATGTTGTTGCAACACTCTTACTACTCTGCAAGGTCTCGTGCTGAAAGAACAATGCATGCTTTCGGAAGAACAGCATGTGATGATTAGCTGATCAAAAGATGTTGCAACTCTTTGAACTTGACTGGCTTCGTCAAGTAACGAGACATTCCAGCTTCCAAGGCATCCTCGCGAGCCCGGTCGTTTCCAACTCCAGTGATTGCAATAATGGTCACAGGCTTGGTGATGCCACGTTCCGACTCCAGTTCTCTGATTTTTCTCGTGGCCTCGAAGCCGTCCATGACAGGCATTTGCAAATCCATGAGAACATAATCAAAAGGAGCATCGGCATCTTTGTACTTGGTGAATGCCTCCAGGCCATTGGTTGCCTCGGCATATGGCAATTTTATCTTCTTGACAAATGTGACCAAAAGCTTGAGGTTGATAGCATTGTCATCCACCAAAAGCACACGAGGAAGGTGGCGAGTCCTGTCTCTAAAATCCTGGCCCATGGGAGATGCCGGTTGCGCGATGCCATCTTCGAAGCTGTCATCTTTCCTGCCCAAAGTACGCAACGAACCAGCTGCACTGGAATCCACAAAGGTCAACTTTCTACGCGGCTCGTCTGATTTCCATCTTAGCTCTTCGAGATGGGGACGATCACGGCCTGCGCGGGGATCGTCGACGACTGACAGAGTATTCAACCTGACTTCGGCGGCGCGCTTCTGCACTTCAATATCAACACTTTGCCGTGAAGACATTGAAGAGTTCTCAGTAGTGGCAGCAAGTTCGGCCTTCTCTATCCGTATGAGGCACTGCAGCACAATCTTGGCCAGCTTTCGCAGGCCAACTGGTTGGCTGGTAACTTCCACAATTCTGCCAAGGGAGGTCAAGTGATCGACGCCGGCAGCCCGCAAAGCTGCAGCTTCAAAAGCATTTGTGCATATAATGAGTAGTGCGGCATTTCCGACTGACTCTCCCCTGGCTACTTGTTCGTGGTGCATATTGAGAAGTTCCTCGATCGGAGGAGGTTCTACATAAATGTAGAGTTGCGCATCTGGATGATTGGCAACATCATGGTCTTGGACACAGGTCATATGGAACCAGTCTCTGCAAAAAGCAGTTATGGAACTCTCAAGCTTTGAGCCTGACTTTTCAAGGATAGTGGGCTTCTTTGGGGGTTTTGGGTTCAAGATGCAGAGCTTCTTACCAGTCGAGAGCTTTTCGAGCTCAGAAACCAGATCATCGTGGCCCAGAATGCACGATGTAGGTGGTGCAGTTTTCATTGGGAGAGTGACATGCACGTGGGTTCCAACGCCCTTTTCGCTGTCTATTCTGATTCTGCCTCCGAGATTGTCGACGATCTGAGCAGTGATAGAGAGCCCAAGCCCGGTGCCAGGAGTAAAGGAATCCTCCTGAGAGAATGCTTTGAACAAATGATTTGTCATGAAGTCCTCCGACATTCCAATACCCGTATCTTTGACTGAGAAGCGAATCGTGGTATTCTCGACGTCAGCGGCCTCCATTGCAGCTGAGACCTCAATGTAGCCTTTTTTGCAATATTTGATTGCATTTCCGACAACATTCATGATGACTCGGCGAAGTGCCCCAGCTCGGCCTTGCACGCACCAAGTTGGCGACTTTTCGATGTTGAGGACTAAGCAGACGCGACCAGAGAACTTGGCACTTCCCTCATGAATGAGGTCATCGGCGGAGCTCGAGTCATCAAGTGACATGGCCTTGATCTCTGCGCTTGCCTCGTCCACGGAATCACGATTTCGGAGCGTAACCTTGCGAAACGTCTGACCGACAAAGACGGCCTCAACAACCTCTTCGAGCAAGAGTGAGAAATCGAAACACGTGGGACCAGAAATCTCTTGGCTGGTGAGGGCGATGTGATTTTGGCTCTTTGAGGGGTCGCGATTCCCAAGCATCCTTGCAGGTGTACTTGTTCGGTTCAAATTATTGATCTTGGCATAATCCAAGAGGTGGTCGATTGTGTCCAGTAATGTCTTTCCACAAGTTTCCATGGAGCTGACCAAGCTCATCTGATATGCTGAAGTCATGCTGTCTTCGAGGAATTCCAAGCTGCCAAGCATACCGTGAAGGGGGGATCGCAGATCATGGGAGACGGAGGCGATGAAGGTGGATTTAGCAATGTTCATATTGAGAACTTCCATGCTTTCAAACTCACTCATCATACAACACCCAAAGGCTTTGAAAAATGGCAAAGCCTCGTCTGGGTCACCCATCTTGAAGTCATTGCCCCAGATGAAGCCGGCTGCACACCATTGGCTTCGAGCGTAGTTGAAAAGCGGCAGAAATATGATCCACTTCGCATCCGGTATGCACTCAAGAACTTCTGGAGGAAGCAGTTTGCGGGACTGAGTAAGCAAATTCGAATTTGGTTCTCCTCCGTCATCTTCCCCGGCAAGCCCTCCTGCCGCATCCAACTGATCCGCCACAATTCTGCCTTTGTTCACATAAAAGGATTTTCCAAAGGGGTAGCGAAGAATGCATTTCCTGAGGTGGGTCCTGCTGATGATTCCTTGAGAGAAATTGCTATTGTCGTCTTCGGCCGTCACAGTGACGTTCAAAACATTCGCTGATTGTGATGATCCGTCGGAAAGGTCTTCGCTGGTGTCAAAGTCTAGATCTTCCTGGTCTCCAACTGGGTCTATGCTGGTGGGAGGGCAGCTTCCTTCCGCGGGCGAGGTGGCAAAAATGCTCGATGAAGCATCGACGAAGACGCAGCCGGTAGCTTTCCCTTGGTCGCAGAACACTTGAGAAGCCTGTGCGAATATTCTGTGTGTATTGTCATCTGTTCCTGTTGGTGCACCTTTGTCTTGGGGCCCGATATCTCGAGAGAACCGAGGCGCTCTTGTCCCAGCCGCGGTAGATTTCTCTTCTTTGCCCCCGACTCTGGAAGGCGAAGCAGACCTGATGTTACCGACCGAAGAAACACCTTGGTGATTTGAGCGGCCCCGCGATGGTGGAGGTGAAGGTTGAGGGTCTGTCGCTTGTATTGAAGTATCCTTTGCTGTGTCTAACTTTTTGGTGTCGGATTCTGAATTGCTCAGGCGATATTTAAATTCTGATTGATCTTCTAAGAAGTAGGATATTCCTTTCATAAAGTCCCTCTCAGAAACACGGCCAACGCTATCCACTTTGGCAATCAGGTAATGTCAGCAAATGCGTACCTAGTGTGGCTCAGACCATTCAACGTAAAGTCCACAGGTGGAGACGTTTTTTTCCAGCACAAGGGGGTCGGCGGGAACTCCTGAGATAAGCCGGGAATGTGTCGTCCAATTTGAAAATCAAGTCGAGAGCAAATAGAAAAGGCAGAAAAGACTTACAAACCCTGGAAAGGTGCTCAGCGACAATTTCGGCAACATCTTGCATGAACTGCATCTCATCATGGGTGAGACCATTAGGCCGCGGTCGAGTGTCGGATACACCATAGACGCCGATTGAATGACCCTCTTTTGTGATGATGGGAACACCAGCGTAGAATCTCACACCATCTTTGGTTGTGACATATACACGATCCTTGAAGCGGTCGTCCAGAAATGTGTCATTGACGACCATTCCAGACATTTGTACCTGTTCACCATGCGCATCCTCGCAAGCGGTCTTGGCGCTGAGCGCGTGCTCGTCCATGCAGTCGTGACGAGGGAGCAAGACGTTTCCGAGCCATATGTTGTCCCCTGGAGCGTGGCGGGACTCATCCACCAGGGAGAGAGTTTGAGTGGCCTCTGCCAGAATGATTTGGGTCGTTGTGTCAATCAGAGAGACCATGGCCCTCTTGACGTTCAATCTCAGAGCAGCCAGCTGGGCGAGAGCGGTCAAAGTCGTGTCGTGAGAGACGCGGGGGCTGGCGCCGGCTTCACTGAATGCCGTGAGATTGCTGGCAGGAGGCACGGCACCCAACTTCTTGGTGTTGAGCCATGGCTGGTAGTATCTGTTGAGATTACGCTGGCGGCCGAGTTCAGCTGAGCTCGCACTGGAGGCACGCCTTGAGGCTACTGGCATTCTGCACGAGGTAGATCAGGCGCCTGACGATGCACTACTACTCAAAACAGGCGAGCCGATGAGCTCACAAGAATCAGAGAGAGCAATGCGCAAGAGCCGCTTCGCAATCCTCAGCAAGCAAAGCATGGGGTTTGGAGAGGCATATGGAGATAAACAGTGTGTAGAGTCGCATCCCGAAACTGCACAAGCGAAAATTGCCGGCTCCTTCCTTCCTGATTGCGCTTCCTCCTTTCGATCCGCCCAAAACTCAGCTCGATCTGTCTGCCCGACTGGCCTCACTGACTGGAATGACGGGGCGGCAACCACTGCCGGCGGAGTGCCTGTGTGCTAGAACAACACGCGCTATTTACCCGCTATGTGCCACTGCGCGCGGGGCGGACACATGAAAGCTTCACCTTGGGAGTTTCCGGGCCCGGGTACCTGAGGACGGCACGCACACTGGTGACTGGAACACTACAGTTTGGCGCACTAAAATAACAAACCGGGCACGAGTCGACTAGGTCTAGAAATTATTTTGTGTTTGGCTTCCAACGTTAGTTGCTTCTTTTAAAAACCTGATGGTGTGAGTGTCTGCCATGTGCCTGAATCGCGATTCGCAACTCCCCATCTTGCGCTACGCTGACTTTTAGTTTCCAATAACTGCCCAAATGCTTGCATGTTCCCACGATTTGTGGGTACCGAGAGTGAGTGAGCTGGAAGATGGAACCTTGAAAGATGGTGTCATTGGTCAATAGTGGGTGGAAACTTTCAATCAAGTGCGGATATCCAATCCGCCCAGGCTTCCAAGAGGCGTTCTGGCGTCCAAAGGCAGTCTGTCGTTTCCTTGCTTGCAGATTTTGCATTCATTGTTGCAGCAGTATTCCGTCTTTACGGAATGTGACCTGAAGAGCCACGATTGCCCTCTTCCAATCATCAATCACAGGCTGATATATCTCTAGGAGCCTGATGAAAAATTGGTAATTCTTCCTAGCTGGCTGATACCTACTTCACTTCGCCATCGACTTCCCCAGACAGCATCAAAGCTGGACGCCGTCGATACCTACTAGGCTCGCCGCTCGGCAGTTTGGGGGCCGTTAGCAGCGAGACTGCCAATCCAGGCACTATTCCCAAAAGGGATAGAGAGATAAGCGAGAACATGTCGACATGTAGATCCTAAAGTCAAAGTCAATCACCACGTCTCTTCGGGCACATATATAGATATAATGAGATGGTCCATGGTAAAAGATGCTGTAGTATTTCATTGGAGAATTAACTATTTGACGGCTCCAAGCAAAAGTCTTTTGAAGTATAAACAGAAAGTCATGAAGAATTCAACAAACCGATCATGCAGATGTGTTTGCAGATCTCCAGCTATATCTGGGAAAGTTGAATCAAAGTCGCACTGCGAACCATTGAAAGTCACAATCCCAATTAATGCGCATGCAAAATTGGCGATTTTTGCCCCAATCAAAACTGCCAAGGTGAGACGCTACTGATTCCAATCCGACTTGACCACATCTATGTCTCGCATGCTCTCTTCCGAGAATGCATTGACTCTTGATGAAGAGGAGATGTGATACTGGATCGTGACTGTGTAAGTATATCATCGCTACCTTTGAACCTAAAATCGTATATGAATATAGTCATGTGACACGTCTGGCCCTCTTTCCTGCTGTGGGAATATCAGAGTAGCGCGGGTCGAGGGGTGACATGCGATCGAGACAGAGTAGCATATAAATGCTCTACATCTCGTCTACTAAGAGAATTCTGTACATGAAGGACGGGCCAGCCGTCTTGGATATCAGCGCATGACGTATTCTACGACGCACACCTACCTACACATGGCATATACTTGAATTATCTTTAGTAGCACATTGGTTCTTGCAAATATGGTCATGCGAGTATAGGAACCAACTAATTATGTTTCATCTTGGCCCTGGTATCTTGACGTCCTCAACCGCCTATGTTCATCTTCGGTGAGTGAATTCGGATTCCAAGCTCTTCTTAAGACAAGAAAGCTGGATTCTATCATCATCAGCAGCTGTGACGCTATTGCAGTTTGAATACGATGCAAGTCCCATATTCATATTTGCAGGGTACCAGCCCTATTATGTATGTGAATTTTTGTTTACTTTTGTCTCGGTCTATGAGTCAAACGTGGCATTCCGCGTTCAAATAGATCATCACCATCTGATGAATGTTGATGTATGAAAACCTTTTGGCGACCCGCAGATTGTGGATGCATCTATGAATCGTACATATAGTACTCCATTTGGATCGATCGGGCCGTTGCAAAATCAGGTGCGGAACGCGTCCCGGCCCACTCGGGGGTTTTATTGCAGATCCGTAGAAACAATGCCGTTCAACCAAATGCCCTTTACCCATTCGGGGATATCACGTAACCTGAGCTGCATGCTTTTGGCCGCCATCAAAACCTTCTGTGTTTTCCTTGCAAGATAGAGGCCACTCGCCCAAAACCAGTTATGGACTCGTGCATTGTCCACAATCCACTATCTTTCAACAAGTGAATGAACTCCCGGTATGATACTTCAGGACGACATGCACGAACCCAGAGTTATCACTTCGAATTGTCAGCTTTCATTATTAATATGTTCCAGTAAGAATAATGTTGCAGAATACATAGAAACACGGGATTATGCCGTGTGAAGGAACCGGTATTGATTCTATTGGCTGTCGCGTATGGGTATGAAGAAAAGTTCAATATTTTGTGACAGTCAATGGTGACTCTCAAATTTACAAAGTGCGACTCAATAACTTTGTCGAGTAGTACTCCGTTATTTCGGACTTGGGGATCTGTACTCGGAGATTCCTTTGTCGTCTCCCTACTAGGCGATCGTGAGTCCAGCACAGGTGGATCTGTGCATTGGCCAACTGAAGCATGTTTATTCAAACAAGAACAGAACAACTTCTTTTTGCATGTCGCAGCTGCGCGGAAAGATGAAAAAACGCCCAACTTGGCACTGTTTGAAGGATCAAAAGTCCCATAACTAACATTGCATCTCCTTGCCTACTACAGTGGTTTCATGCCAAACCTTGACGACGACGACATCCACAGTGGAAGAATTGTGCGACGCTCCCAAGCGTTTTCATCATAAACATGAGAAATGTCTCCACATCATGACACCTGAGAATGATTTGCACGGGTAGGCAGCTAGGTTGCAGGTCGGATACGTTTCCGACGTCAACGGCTGTCATTCCATCATTGGTAATTCATAACGGTGGCTGATGGGGCTCCAAGCGATTCTTATACTGAGTGTAACATGCATTTCTCGTGATATAGGCCTGGATGTTTATAAGCCAAGCTACCGGCTACGAGATTGCTCTTGAAGATATATACAAGTAACAAAAGTTGCAAGACTGCTACTGGTGGAATTAAGTTGACAGGGAGAACCAGGTTTACACTATTCCATAATGCACCGAGGCTCTTTTATGAGGGTGCCAGCCATTGTGGCTCTGCATACCCGCTCAGCAAGGGAGCTGCTGCTTTGGTGTTAGTTGCGCGTGCATCCCTAGCTGCCGTGAAGCATCTGGATCGATTCATCCTTGTGGGGACATGGCCCCCAAGATTATTTTCCATCATACGTTGACCAGATTTTCAGCTTTCAGCGGCAAAGCTAAAAGACGGAGGAGAAGAAAAACAAAGAGATGCACTCTACTGTGTATCGATGAGACTCTCCCTTGCGGCTCATCGTGGATATCGCAAAAGGGCTGTTCTGGGCATTCTGACCCGCGTGTGAGTGGAGATGGCGCGGAAATTCCCAGCCGAGAACGGCAAAGCTTGGTATCCAGGACCCCGGGACACGAACCCGACAACCTTACTTCAGTATACTTGAAACAGAATGGAAATTGAGCTTACATCAATCGCGCAGCAAGGAACAAACGTTGTGATTTGCCAGCTACGTTCGAGAACGTTTACAGTGGTATTCTTTCTGGGGGCCTCAGCCTGCTCGGATACCCGATTTGGTGTTCCGCCCTCGGTATTGTATAGATTTCAACCACGTCTCGGTTACGCAGAGATCCACTGTGATTGAACCTTCTGACACCCTGACGCTGCGCATGGCTTGAAAGAAGCGTAATGGGGGGGCCTTCACACGTGGGAATTTGGGGGCTTTCCCTTTTTCTATCCATGGCTGCGCCGCGTCGTTCAAATCTTTTCACGAGAAGTTGTTGGAGGTGGTGTTGAGACTCTTTTGCAACTTTCAAAAGTCACTCTTTTTCTTTTCTTTTCTGTTCTCGTGCAGTCGCTAGTATGGCATCATGCTGCCACTCATGATCCGCGATGATAGCGACGGCACTACCGAGACTGCCGTCGTTGACCCGACCCTGCAGTTGAATCTGGGATTATGGCTACTTTTTGCCGGCGCGACATTTTTCCTGGTGATGAGGATATGGGTGAAAGTCTATCGTTCCGGCTTGTGGTACGATGATTATGTTCTTTTGATCTCATGGGTAAGCAATTGTTTTTGGGGAGTGATCCGTGTGTATGTATAGGTTGATGCTCAGTTCGCTAACTAGAGATTGTGAATAGGGCATCCTTCTGGCCAACGATGCGCTCATCAGCTACGAATTCGCTACCGGCTATGTCAGCCCGACGGGAGACTGGGATGAACATATGCATATTCTCATCAACATATCCTCTTGTGGCACGCTTCTCGGACAGGCGCTGAGCAAGACGGCACTAGGAGTTACATTATTGCGCATGAGTAACAAACTGCAAGCGAGCATCGTTTGGTTTTGCATTTTCGTCATGAACGGCTACATGATTGCCAAATGCATCATTCAGTGGGCAAAGGTTTGCGACAAGGGTAGCGACTACCAGGCCGATTACCGTCTAAACTTTTGCATATACTCGGATTTTCGCGACGATTTTAAAGAGGGTGGTCAAAGTAGGTTACCCAATGGCTTACCAGCGCGGCACTCTTTTGAAACCAATAGTAACGTGATAACATAGTTGTCAACATTGTCATGGATTTCCTCTTTGCGTTATTTCCCTGGTGGATCACATGGAATCTCAAGCTGAGGAAGGTAGAGAAGCTTGCGCTCTGCTTTACCATGAGTCTTGGCATGGTGTGAGTATAGACTGGTCATACTTGAGTAATATTCGACTAAAATGTTGCTAGTGTCGCAATTGTTTCTGCTGTCAGAACAGCCTGGAAGGACGATGGAAATAAGCATAATCCTTGGTACTACTGTAAGTGAGGCCCTTGATTTGAAGCGATATAACAATATCTAATAAGTGCACTCAGGGCATAACGCAATGTCCAATATTTGGTTAGTTTATACGCTCACATACTGGATGGACCGATTCATGGCAGTGGTTCTCGTCGCATCGCTTGTTTCCGTGTTATTAACATATCGTCCCCAACAGGTACTCGTCGGAAGTCGCTGGAACCATCATGGTGCAATGCATACCCGTCCTACGGCCTTTAATCCGGGAGCTCGGCAACTCGTTTTCCTCCCGGAAGCTACCCTCGACAGAAGATCAGATTACAGCCGCTACGTGGCAGCGATATGGATACGAAGCGAAAATCACATCCAACAGAGACCCGGAGCGTGGCACAGGAGTCAAGGAACCTATACGATTGCAGACTTTCGACAATGGATTTTCAGAAAGCAGAAAATGATGCGACTTTTGTTTATTTGAGCCATTGGCTCTGCCGTCCTCATTATTGATTTTTCTTGTATATATTTTATGGAACGCTATTGAGCTATTTTAGGCCTTCTGTGAAATTGTGATGCTGTTTTATTTCACACCACCCTCAGCTGCGCGTTCTGAATCGGCGGAAAATACGGTCTGGGCGAATACCGACAATCATACTCAATCTCAACTCATCCCAGCCAACTTACCAGCTAAGATCGCAATCTTTGTTCATGGGATACATTTGATTCGCGATGCTTCTGAAAATGGCAGTCGGTATTCATGCCTTCGTCAGACCTAGTATTCGAGCTGCAGGAAGTTGATATACGCCGAATGAGTCATAGGCCGCTTCAGCGCAGGTCTTCAATTAACGAGACCCCAAAGACATGCGTCGAGAGAAAAAAGCAATCACGCATCAGAAACTTTCAGAATAGAGAAAGTCTGACATTATCTTACGGGAGACATTATAAAGAGTCGGCTGGAGATAAGAGCCTTCTTTCTTGGCCATTTCCATCATCGAGCACAGGTGAGTTTGTCTCGGCGCAAACCAGGGCGTGGTGCGGGGTTGCGAGTTATACCAGCAATGTGCACCGGGCCGCCGTGGACAACGACTCTTCCATTACTTTCATGCTGATTAAAAAGCAGACATGTCGAATGAGGCAGGGGCATCGAACGCGGTGAGCGCTTCGCAAAATATCTACGATACTGCCGAATTCTTTCAGGGGTATATCAAGCTTGATCGACAGGTCTTGGGCCTTGATGGTGCACCGGAATGGCCTCAGCTGAGAGCCATGCTGCCAAATATCCAAGAATCGCAGATACTCGACTTGGGATGTGGTATGGGATGGTTCGCGCGATGGGCCAAGCAGCAAGGGGCAGCACATATTCTGGGACTCGACCTATCGCAAAACATGCTTGATCGAGCAGTTGAATTGACCAACATGGACAACATCGAGTATCAGCGGGCAGACCTGAATCAACTGAATCTCGCTCCGGGAAAGTATGATTTGGTTTTCAGCTCCCTGGCATTCCACTACCTGGTGAATCTCAAGGGGTTGTTCGCCGAGATTCAGCAAGCACTAAAGCCTGGGGGGAAGTTGGTGTTTTCTATTGAACACCCAATCTTCACAGGCCCGACTCGGGGAGGAATCATTTCAGATGCAGAAGGTCGATTGATCTGGCCCCTGGATGCTTATCATAGAGAAGGACTGAGACATCGCAATTGGTTTGTTGACGGTGTGGAAAAACAGCATCATACACTTGGAACATACATCAACACCTTATTTCAGTCTGGATTTGAGTTGACCGATTTTGTTGAATGGTGCCCAACAGAGGATGATCTGAAGAAGTTTCCAGGGTGGGAAAAAGAGTTCATTAGACCAACTTTCTTGTTGATGGGCGCAATCAAGAAGTGTAGCTGAGCATAGTTGATTTCCATTGTCATTGCTGTTTTTCGATGGCAGAAGTTGCATGGAGCCGTCGTGCGACCAGCCGTTTAGATCTAAGGGCGGAGGAAAACGATTGTCTCTGCGAATCGGGTTTAGCGACCTAGCCAGTATCAACGGACATTTGGCCGGTTAGCTATAGCTCAACCTCAAGTCAGAGGTTCTCTATTTCATTGATTCAAATAGCAACAAGGAGATTGTATCGATGGTGGGAAGAAACAAGTACAAATGCATTACATCTAACAGCATTTTTATTTACATTGTTGTTGCGACATGTGATAGGTAACGGGAGTGATGATATGCGATAGTGTGTTTCCGGGGACAAGGCCACTAAGTTAACCCATGAGCTAGGATGAGCTCCAGCTGGCTCGGCTGGGGTGCGTCACTCCACGGCATTCTAACCAGGGAGACGATCCACTGCCAGCTGCGCATCTGCAACGTGAGCGAGCTGATCTCCAAGATACAGCTAAGTCGCAACCTATTTCAACACAACATTCGACGTCATCCATATCACGACACTCCTGCGCGAGCGTCCGAAATACGAAAACTGGGAGCATTCAGCCTCGGCGACGACGCACCCTGAACTTCTGCCGACAAGGCCCCCTGCTGCTTACACAAGTGACTTGTCTTCCCAGTTCGCGACAAGTACCTACCTTGGCTTCATCGACTACCGACCAACTTACTATTTGGCCATCTGCCGCCACGGTGTTTCGATCAACCACCACGATCTCCCACGTCGACTCTGGTACAAGGCGGGGAGGTGTTTCAAAGGCTTCTCGCACCCGACTGCTTGAATGCTTCCCTTGAACCCCTTCCTCGCCGCCTTCTTCCGCCACGGCAATCCCATTGTTGCCCAGTGCTCTCCCGTCCACCACCACGTCTTACTCGTTCCGACCACCGAGTTTTTCCTCACCTCCCGCGAAACCGACAGCGGCGTATCGCCTGCGGAGCTCGTAGCTTCGGAGGACTTTTTGAGTAGCCATGTGCTCAAGATACCCAGCAGTGCGGCGGTAGCGGGAGGGAAGGACTCAGGGGTAGGAAATCTCCGCGAGCTTAGGGGCAAGGCACGGCAGTATAACACCTTGAATGGCCGTAGTGTCGTGATCAAGGATGCTTTTGTGTATAGTAATAAAGGTATAGCTCTGCCCAGCTATCCTCGACCTTGCGCACACACTCACGGCGATGCTAACCATGACTCCAGGATTCCGTACCTTGGCACAAGCTCAAATACTTAGCGACACGATCTGGTATGCCGACTCACTCGAACCGAAACAATGGCTCATATACTACATTTCAAGACCACTCGTAGGCATCTGGGAAGAGATTGTCATACAACCAGCAGTTTTCTCTCCTGGTATGGCCAAACGAAAGCTCACGGAAGACAAACAAGCCGCTGCCATCGAGAATGGTGAACCGAGTTTGCCCAAGAAGAAGGAGATTAAAAGTTTCCATGACCTGCTGAATAACTTTCCAATCATCGCCAGACAAATGCAACCAGGCCTCGAGAAGCTTTTCAGGGAGTTTACGATTGTCTTTGACAGGCCACTTCCTCCACCGCCTTCTGCCACCCATATTCCCGACCCCATGCCAGATGGACCAATCGCAACTGCTATGAAACAAGTGCGGACGAACAACTCGCCAAAGCGCACCAGATCGAGCGTCAATGATCCCGGTGCTATGTATCGTAACAGGGTAACGGAGAACTTCTTTGCCGAAGATGATGAGGATGTCATGCGCGCTTCATTAGAGACGGCTGTCACCACGGCCATTGATTTGTTCCAGAGCGTTGACCAGCAGCAACTTTCCATGCTTGGTGCTACGACTGATCTCACCGGGCCCTTGGTAGAGCGGCTCATTGAGAGATACGTGGCTGAGAATGTGCATACATATGTTTGGCCGCGACTTGCCGCTATGCGTCGACCTGAAGATCTCGAACTGGAAGCCAAGATTCGCCAGATGGAATTCATCGACATTTCACAACTTGGAATCGCATTCGACGGTGGCCAAAGAGAGAAGCGTGAGCTTACATTGAGACTGGGACGGGCCGTGGATGAATTCGGCAAAATGACTAGTGCTATGGGACCCCAGGAGATGATGGAGCTCCTCCTCTCAACCATGAAGGCCGTCACCACCTTGACAGAACAGCCGAGACCGGAATTAATGACCAAGCCGGGTCTGGAGAAGTCACCACTGACCATCAATGCCGATACCCTTGTCTCGCTCCTCCTTTTCGTCGTCATCAGAGCTGGGGTCAAACATCTCCAGGCGCGGCTCCAGTACATTCGACACTTTATCTTCATTGACGACGTGGAGAGTGGAGAAATTGGTTACGCACTGAGCACATTTGAAGCCGTCTTGTCGTATCTCATGAGGGATTCTAGTACCCTAAGGCGCGCAAGCAAGCGCAACAAGTCCTTGTGGGATGTTACTGCCAAGGGAGACACTGCAGAACTCAAGAGAATGATGGACTCTTCGAACGAAGCTGTCGAGGATGAGCCCCCAGCATCCCCAGTCTCGAGTCACGCTCCTTCTGTTAGCTGGAGTATGGTCAACGGATCCTCTAGGCGTTCATCAACTACATATACGAGCTTCGATGCGTATTCACAGGGCTCTGGCCTCGGTCATGTGTTTCCTTTTCAAAGTGAAACCAGCGAGTCGCCTTCTCTCCTGCCTGCAAAGCGTGTGAAGAGAGTTGCCTTGGATACAAGAAGCATGTCCAGTGGCTCAGAGTACTCGTACCACTCTCGGGCGGCTAGTGTAGCGACCACCATGGGCAGTGGCATCGAAGGTGACACGTCTGCGGCTCGGCTGTGCCAGACACAAGATGCATTGGGAGAGTCCATCCCCATGATGGCGGTACAGAATATGCGACCGGAGATGCTCAAGTACCTTTTGTCGCTCGACGAGTTCTTTCCCACAGAAACCATTCTAGAAGACAGCAATAATCAGGGAACTACTCTATTGAGTGCCGCCGTACAACTAGGTCACACAGAGCTCATTGACATTCTTCTGGATCTCGTCATGACTAGGACCAACCGAGCGCAGACCGCCAAGTATCTTGCGCTTCAGGATGTCATGGGTCGCAGCGTCGCCCACTACCTTTTCCATGCCCCGTCCCTGATTGGGCGTATAGGCCAATTACTTCCCTGGCGACAAAAAGATAAGAACGGGTTAACACCTCTGTTTTCTCTTTGCCGCTCGTATGACCACACGCATTATCGGTCCATGGTTGAAGCTGGGCTCGAAGCGGCCACTAGATCTCAGGGTGATGGTCAAGCTTTACATCTTGATGATCATGTGGATTCCAAAGGAAACACACTATTGCATATTGTCCACGACGCCTCGGTAACTGCCCAAATCCTACAGTACTGTGACGTCGATGTGAATGCAACCAACGACAGGAAATTCACTGCCCTCATGGTAGCTAGCAAGTATGGCCGCTATGACATGGTGCGAGCCCTGTATGGTGATCAGAGACTTGACGTGGGCGCCAAGGACCTCCGCGGTTTGACTGCCGTAGAGTTGGCCAAGGACGACGAAGTCCGAAATAAGATGGACGACCTTGCACTCTTTTCCATGCCAGCTGGCGAGAACGGTAGAGTCACGGGAGTAGTCAGGTCGTTCTTTGTCGAGGACGCGACGATCCGTCTTGTCATTAAATCCGGCGCGCCAAGTGATAGTAATAGCTTCACTATCACGACATGTCGCCGCTCCTTGTCAGATTTTGAGCGTTTGGCCACCCTGCTATCCATGGAGAACCCTGCATCGTGGATACCTACTGTTTACAGTCAACGTACACCCTTCCAGATTCCCGCAAAGCCATCAAGGGCCGTTCTAAAGGACATTCAGGTGCGAACGGGTTGGTTCTTGAAGATTCTACTAGCACATCCCACCTTTGAAGCTCACGAGATGCTTTGGGAATTCTTCTTGGTGCCTGACCTGCAACCAGAAATGATTGAACAGCGTAGCAAACTCAAGGCTGAGACGCGCGCGGAGAATATTCATGAGGAATATGAGCCACTGGAGGACGTCCGTGAAGTGGAGCAATTTGTAGACCATGCTCGTGACATGGTCCGTAGCGTCAACTTTTCCACCAAAAGTGTGGCACGCCGAGCAAATGGCATTTGTGTGGCCGGGGCTGGTAAGTAACGCGCAAGGACACCCGCCAACGATCTGGCAAACGTTACTGACTCTCTATTAGACCTGTATGAAGCTGCAAGTCTACTCAACAGGCAGGTAGGGAACTTGACTTTCCTACCACAAACACATGTTGCTGCCTTTGACGCATACGTCCGCACGTTGTTGCCATTACAATCTTCACCAGCACAAACGTTGCACAATACATTTTTGGCTATACAATCCACCATGACAGCCATGCTGGCAGCGCTAGCGCGCCCGCCTCAAATAGTGGCACAGATTCAAGCATCTCGAAGATCTATTGAAAGGTCATATAGCTCACTCAGCCGTTCAACGCGTTGGCCACTCGGACTCCTGGACGAGACTCGTCAACGCCTCAATGAGGAAAAGGAAGAGAAGGCCCGAGAAAAGCAAAAAGAGGCCGACGATCTTGGCCGTGAGCTCAGGTATACGCAGCAGGTGGTAGCTAGTGAGCTTGCCGGCTGGCAGGACATGCACGAAAAGTTGGGACGACGGGCCATAAAGGATTTCGCCAGAGGCATGGTGGTGCTTGAACGCGAGAGGCTGGCGGGTCTGCATCGTGCGATGCGGAAACTAAGGGAAGTTTCTCCCGGTCCCGTGTTTAGAATGAACTCGGTTGGTGGGCCTCAAACCGAAGCGATGGTAGACGAGCTTGAGGCACGACGACAGATGGAGAATGTGGTGGACTCTGGGGTCATAGGCTCCTTCGAGCCAACCTTGGAGAATGGGAGCAAGTCATTGGCGCAAGGGGAACAAGATGACCCTAGCGTCGAAACGAATGACGCGCAGCAGATCTTGGATGAGCCACTGGTCGTCCAGGAAAGAACCATAGAGGAGTAGACATTATGAAGCAGATTAGACGATCGAGTCAAAGAAGATGTCAAGCTAGAACTGCCAGAGCTTTGGGGTACGTGGATATGACCATGGTCAATGCTCGATGAGGGGAAATCCAACCTTGTCATGTTGGATGTGCTGGCTCACTGAGGGGCCGTGGATTACGGGCAGGATCAAATGTGGTGACAATCACCTCACCTGATGCCCAAGATATGGAATCATTACGATCTATCCTGCGAGTCGGAGGTAACCCACCACTTTAATGTGATGATGATACCGAGTTGCCTGTCTATGTATACGTATATGATGTGAGTTGCCAGGAGGTGGCAGTGTCTTGTCCAGTGATCATAATGGTCATGAAACAGGTCTGTCTGGTGGCCTTTTGTCGAGGCCCAGAGCTCAGAGGAGCTGACGACAGAGGATGGAATGGACGGGTCGGGTAATCGGATGAGTCCCAGGACCCTCGATCGACAATTTTACTGATTTGCAACCTCAGCAAACCTCGAACCGAGTAACAACCCAAAGAAGAAAATTGACCAAGTCCCTTTTTTCTCTTGTTCTACAAGAACGTCATCGAAACCCCCTGCATATCAACTCGATGAACTTTGGAGCAATCCTAGCCATTGGAAATGTGGGAGGCGGTCAACTCCCAGAACCATGGATGGTTGATAGATTGCGCTACTTTTTTCTCTCGTGTCTTGCGTACACTAGATCTAGATCCCCCAGATCTGGGTCCCCCGGAGAAAATAAAAGATTGTTGACATGGCAGCAGAGAGGGGTAAAGAAAAGGAGGATACACTCAACAAGGGGAGAAGACAATGATACCTCGGGACGGCCGATGTTGCGGCATTTCGTTTGCCATGTACATTAGCATGAGAAGTACAGTAATCTAAGCAGGGGGAAGGAAGAGAAGAAGTCTCGACTCTCTGTTTACTTTCCGCGATAGAGTAATGCTTGAGGATCATGGGTAATAATGGCGGAAAGATGCAAAGTCAAGCAAAGCAGCAGAACTCACCCCCTAAGCTACGAGTATAGGGCTCCGTAGATCATGCATGAGGTGCAGCAAGACTATACCTTTTCCAGGGGACAATGTTACCAAAAGAGGGTGAGTCATTTCGAGTTGGAAGGCTTCTAGTTTGTCGGTCTGCTAGTTAGTACTGCCACTACTGCACGTTGTTGGTTTTTTTGCTCGTTCAACTTCCGGCTCGGAGGAATAGGTAATAGCAAAAGTGCCGCAAGGCAAGCGGTCTGGGTACTGCCGTGTGCTGTCTTCTTTGAGAAGAACCTGAAACACAGAGGACGAAAGCAGGATAGCGCAGGGGGAAATGCTTCTAGTGCCAAAAGGAGAAAAAATAGAGAACCCGGAAAAAGGGTTCGGGACGCTGAGGGCCAATCGACCCGAAAACCACGCGGGCGCGACGATAGAGCTGACGGTCTTGCCCGCACCCCATTGGGCAGCGCGAGGACAAGGGTCGAGCGCGTGGTGGCCGGCCAATCATGGAGAGCGGCAGAGACCGTGGCTGGGCTTCTGAGCAGAGCGTGTAAGCGTGGCTCCCAACCGTGGCTCAACACGCTCTGGCGTTCGCGACTGTGACGTGAGAGCAAACTGCTCGTGGTCGTGGGTGAGTGAGCTCTGCCCATTATGCGTTACGCGCCCGTGTCCACGGGTCTTGCTCGAGGGGCGAGGCTGTGCAAAACAATCCCTCTCGAGGTGGTTACCTAAGGTACCCAGCTGCCACCTGTCAGACGTCGAGGCTGCTATCCGCCGAACCCTCTCTAGATTTACCGCGCGATTGTTAAAATTGCCTCGCCCATTCATCCATCCATCCATCGCGGCCAGCTTACAGTGGACCGATGGCCCTGGGAAGGTATTATCGTACGTAGACATGATGTGCCAGGTCATGTGAGGAGACAAGAGGAACCCGCATCAGGATACGAAAATCATACGGGCTACCTTTCTCCAGGCCCACGGCAATCTCTCCAGCCGCTCAGGGCTTACACTTGACCCGGGGGCAGTGAACAGGTTTTGTCACGGCGCCTGTTCAGCTTTGCAACGTCCGCGGGTCTCTCCTCATCTCGCCAAATGAGACTGCCGCTCACCAAAAAGGTATTTTTCTTTTGGTCATGCCTCAGTGGTGTCACAAGATGGGGGAGGCGCTGCACACACACAAAAGTCATGATCTACAGACGAGACACTGTGTAAATCTGCGACATTGGGGGCCCTTTTCTGGTGCCGTCAGCACACAAATGTGCAATCTACTGTGTACAGTGTCGTTTGTACCCCTCCTTCATCGCAAAGATATAGCCGCCCGCGCGGATGTGCGTTTAAATTAACCAACGGCGGCTACGACGCTTCGTCCCGCCTACAAGGTCCCTGTTCCCCTGCAAGGTCGTTCAAGGCCGTTCGGCGTTCTGATTCATCTCAGCAGCCGCCGCCGCTTTGCCTCACCATGGGGGAAAAGCAAGTTTGATAAGCGGCCCTGCAAGTAGAGAGACGCAAAAATAGAGTCGCACTGCTAAAGAAGAGATTTGATGCTTTGTCATTACGGGCTGTTTCGTCACTGTCACTGGTAGAGCAAGCGCATCGGGGGGCCAGTGAAGAGAGATCAGCGACGGGGTTCGAAGCGCATAGTACTGGAGTCTGGTAGGTAATCGCTCAATGCCTGATATGGATGAAAGACGAACCATCAAGAAATTCGTGGTCAGCATGAGAGAAAACGGGGTGCGCGCTTGCATTGGAGTCGACTTGTGCAGACATTCAACAATGTGCATGGGGGAACTGTGGGTATGAGTGGTGGCAGCCAGCACCTGCGGCTGTCACTTGCCAGCTGCACACGCGGTAGGTATCAATGCATTCATTGTGCGTGTCTAGTCGCGACTCGTCTCTCGCTCTCTCACCAAATGTCCATTGTTCGTTTCTGTCGCGACGGGGCAACGAACCACGAGAAGAACGAACGTGACTTGCTGGCTGCGCGCTCTGGGGGGTCGTGTGTCTTCGCGACTGGTTCTAGCGTGTAGTCTGTGGGTGCCGTGTAGCGGTGCGTGCTGGCTGGTTAGCTGGAAAGAAAAAACCCGGGAGCGTTGCGTTGGGTCGCGTCGCAGTGAGCAGATCACCGGCAAGGGGCCCCCCCAGCAAACCCACCAGGGGGGAGTCCTGCGGGTAGATCCAAATGCTAGAGGCTAGAGAGCCCTAGCAACTGGAAAGAAAAGGGAAGCGAAGCGAAAATGCTCTGTTACCCTTGACTCCATTCTTGGGTTCTCTTTGGGCAGCTCTCCCAACCTAGCCGTTCTAGGACAACAGCAACAAGAACCCCACAACCAGTTGCATGGCGATTCAGTACACCGCAGCAAGAACACCATGCAACCACGATGCGGTGTGCGGTAGCAATCCCCACAGGCAGAAGCAAAAAGAAGCAGGACAGGGCTGGGGTCCGGCTTTGCTTTGCTTTGCTTGCTTGGCAAATACGGTAGACCTTGCCCAGTACTCTGTAGTCTTTGCCCAGATGAGGATTCGACTCTTTTGGTCGGCCGGCTACTACTGCTGCCAGTACCCGCAAACTGTCTAAAAATTTGCATGAGTCACCGACGCTTGTTATGCTCGTTGCCGAAAATGTATAGAGTAGGATGTACACTACTGCACAGGTACGTGGTGATGGGCCCTGGGTGCCGACGATGAGCTGGTTAGTCCAGTCAGTGTGCAGAACTGGGCAGCGACGGTGAAGGACCACCCCCAGCTCCAACATGTGCCTTTGCCGGCCTCTCCTTTTGCGGCTTGATAGGCGGCATGTTGTGATGTGTCGTACAGGGGGGTTTGCGAGATAGGCACTGTGCCAGCGCACATTTTTCCCTTGTGACCTGTATAGTGATTTGTATAGCGAGGGGAGTACCGGGCGAGTACCGCTTCGTCCCGACTAACACGGCCTTGCGCGCCTATACCGTCCATACTTGGACCTTACCTCGACCCTGCTCACGACCATCCGTACGTCCCTTGCCCTGCCCTGCCCTGCCCGTACTACGTAGCCGCAGACGAAGCAAAGCAACAAGGGCGCCAAGCTTTTACTTCCGCATTTTGTATCTATGGTACTACATCCTTGCTCGCATCCATCTGCCATCTCAACATCGACCGCCCCAATGCCTGATCCCAGGATCGACGACGGAAAGGACCCATCCCCATTCCCCATCGGCCAGACCAAGAGACTGGTTCGACCTCTGGAATAGCAGCACGCTTACCGTTCAAGCCGACGGACCAATTCTGCAGTCCCTTCTTTCTCCCATGTTTCAGATGTCCCTATCTGCATATGCCATCGACATCATCTAATCAGAATCATCCCTAGTGGGCTGATTGTGTGGTCCATCGTGGCCCGTTGCTCTCAAGGATAAGTAGACGCTCTCTCGTCCTCTCATCGACTCGTTTTTTCTTCTGGTCAATATCTTCATCAGTTTCATCCACTCGCGCTCCATCATCCAATCCATTTTCCATTTTCTTCTTCTTTTTCCTTTCTCTATCCACCTTTGTCTCGACTATTGTTAGATCTCTTGTAGAAGTAGGCCGACTCTCACGCGACCTTGGTTCTCTCTTCCTGCCTCACGGCAACTTCTGCACCGTCATCGTACATATCAACAAGATCCTCACGGATCAGAAACATTTTGTGGAGCTGGTCTCCCTTTTCCTGTCGATAGACTAATTTTCTCAATTGTTGTCCTGGTCGACAGCAACACCATCACACATCTTTACAAACATGGCTTCGTAAGTTTCCTATTTCGGCATCCTCTGCCCCCACTTATCTTATAGAAGCGTGCTTGAACTAACACGCCTGGTTATAGTCTGGCAGCAGACATGTCTTTTGACTTCATCTTCCCCTCGTGCGAGCCCGCAACTCCTCCCAGCTTCTCGTTTGATGCTTCCTCGCTCGACACGCCCTTTTACCCCATGCAGGCTCGCTCGAGCTCGTATGGTCCCATGATGTCCACCATTGAGACATCGCCATCAGACACAATCAGCACTGGCATCACCACGCCGCCGCGGTCGTCTCCCCCGATCCGCCAGCATGGCCCGATCTTGTTGCCCAAGATCCGCTCCCAGGACCAGGAGATCAACCAGACACCCCCAAAGCGCGCCAGGACATCGGTGACGCCGGCTCCCAAGCCTCGCCGCGCAGCCAGCTACCGTCCCACTCACACCCGGAGCTACACCAACCCCGAGACTCTTAACCAGTTCTCGGCTACCTACTTTGCAGCACCCACGTCCGCTGAGAACCAGTCCCAGTACTCGCAATCGCTCATGTGCTCGCCCGTCATCTTCCCTCAGGACAACATTCGATCGCATCGCGCATCGACATGCGACTTGGACGGCACCACTCTGGAGAAGTATGGCTTCCCGACCTACCGCCAGATGCCTTCATACGTGCCGGCTGTGCCCCAGCCCACTCACATGGACCCTTACATGTACTCTCAGTACACTCCCCGGGCTTCCCCGGCTTTGACCAGCGTCGCCTCGTCGCCTGAGCCCATTGCCTCCACCACCCTGATGAGCTATCTGACCTCGGCCAACCCTGCCCCGTCTCTGGTCCGCACCATCTCCTACCCTCTCAGGGATCCCAACACCAAGCACTTTTGGTGGGATGTGCGCCAGATTCGCCCCTGGGTTGAGTTCAACGCATCGACCATCCTGTCGCTTCCTGGCACGTCGAGTCTGCTCAGCTGCCCTGTCCCGGCACCCCTCCTCCCCCAGCCCGCGGCTTCTTCGCGCCACCCCGAGACTGAGGCTGCTCTGCACCAGATTCACAGCTCGTACTACATCCCCAAGCTCAACTCGGCCCTGTCGCTCTCCTCCCAGCGCCCCCTGCAGTTCACCGCGGCTTCGCCTACCAAGCAGACCAGCTCTTCCTCGGAGCACGTCTTCACTGCCAATGTGAGCGGCGAGTCTGCCACCGCGGCTGCCATGTTTGGCGGCAAGCCCACGGCCCGCATCGTTGGCCTGACCAAGTCTTTTGACCGCTTCAACACGGGCATGCGCGTCGAGGGCAACATCAAGCGCGTCGAGTACCTCCGCGGCCTCGCACACCTGCACCACGTCATGCGCGAGCACAGCTGCCGCTACGGCTTCATCATGACCGAGATTGAGCTCGTCGTGGTCCGCAACGGCGCCGAGGGTACCCCTCACTTTGGCTTCCTCGAGGTCGCCTCTGTCCAGCTCGCCGCCACCGGCGAGAGCGACGAGACCGAGGAGCAGAAGCTCACGGCCTGCCTGGCCCTCTTTGGTCTCTGCCAGCTCGCTGCCGACGAGATCGTCCCCGGCCAGGCTGGCTACAAGTCCGAGATTGGTGCCCCCGCCGAGGGAACCCGTCGCAAGGCCCTGGCCCGCGACGACTGGATGCCCCAGCCCCAGCTCGCCGAGAAGCGCGAGGCCAAGAGGACTCGTGGCTGGGTGTTCCCCGAGGACCCCGTCGGTCGCAAGGAGCTTGGCAAGCGTGGTGTTCGCTACGGTGCTTGCTAGAAAACAGGCAAAGTGGCAAAGAAATGAAATGAATGAAGAAAAAGAAACATGGAAAAAAACGGATAAAACGAAACTAGAATTAATAATCGACTCTCGGCTGGTCCCTGGTCGATTGGATGATATGAGATGATGATGGACATTCTGGAAAGTAACGATTGTATGGAATGAGGAATTGGTGGTGGCTCCTTTGGGGATGAAAGAAGGGTTACAGGAGAATACACCGGGATGAGATGAAAGTAAGACCTGGGACTGCAATAGTCCGGTCAATGATGAATGATGATGACGATGCATGCTTTGCATGCCACTTCCAGTATATAGTTTAATTTTTTACAAAAACAATTGAAAGAAAGTAAAATTATAAATATCTCCAAGTTTTATCATTCGTGATTAATCTTCTTACACAATGAAAACAAAGAAATTCCAGAGAGAGAGAAAATGCAGCCTTTGATTGAAGATTGTAGTATTCCATCATTCCATTACGCTCTACTGTACTGTTAATTCGGGGTAATTTCCCAACACATCCAGTTGTTTCCCGCAGTAATGGTGACTCGTCCAGTCTAATCCAGCGTCTTTCTCTGTGAAGCGCTTGAGATGCACATCTCCTTCGTGCTGGTATAGCATTTCCCATGCTTCCTTTTTGTGTCAATGGACATATCTTGAACTCGAGAATTTCTTCGATCCTTTCCAGTCTTTCGAAACACCTGCTGAATGCCTCATCGTTTCCTTGCACATGTTATTGCCGGTCACTTTGCGATATGTTGTAGCTTTCGTGAGGGGCACGATCTTCGGCAAATATCTCTTGGGTATGGCTTGAAGTTTGGCGTCACGATCTGTCTCGTAAATGACGACATGCCGGCATGTAAGGCCGTAGAAAAAGGGAGTCAAGAAGGAAGAACAGAGAGTAGTCGGTTTGAGCAAGATGCACAAGGACAGTTTCATGCATTCTTCGACCGGGTGTTGGTTGTAATTGTATGGTTCACAATGAATGCACCAGAAAGCGGTGGAAAATCTCGTGGAATTGTAAATGGGAGCAGATGGATTGATGAGTTGCGAAGAACCAAAACTCTTTGCCCGCTCACCCGGGTCTTTAAATAATAAACAAATCCTCCTACTGTCTGGGTAAGTACTGACGACCCCCCAGTGGTCCTTTCCCAACTCACCCCAACCACCAAGATCTCGTGGTAGAGGAATCTGCGCCTTGATGTTTTGGTGGTTGGATCAGATGCACTCGTGCCTTACCGACTTGTTGTAACAACAATTAGGAAGCCTTCATCAACTCTTAGAGTCATGCTTGCCCCGAAATCTTCTGGGACTCAAGTGTTCAGGCCCCAGCCGGGATTGCAGGTTAGCATCACAGCTGCCTTGTGTATATGATAATTGGCAAGAGCCTCCGTCTTGGCTCATACGATGAATGTGTGGTGACTGGTCATAACCAGAAGTTTCTCTCTCGTTTTTCTTTTCCCCAAGAAAGAACAAAAATGGGTTCGGATACTTCTTTCTACTATATTAAAAGAAAGATGATGAACCGAGCTAATAAGACAGACTATTGCCAGCTCGGTATATCACAGGGTTGAGATGAACATTTACATTTGCGGCAGATCGCCTTGTATATACAACCAAACAAGTAATCGATTCAATTTCTAAAATAGATGTGTCAAGTCTAGCACTTTTCGCGCCTCGTCGCGGCTAGCACGACTGATACTCAATTCTCGGCAGTTTTCTCCTCTCAAGTCTTCCTCGGGAGGTTTATACTTGGTATCCTTGTCTACTTGCCATGCTTTGCAAGCTCAGGTAGAACAGCGATAAGCACCATAAGCGCAAGTATTTGTGTGTCGCGTTTGTCCGTGCGACACTTGTTGGCTGCGTCTGCTCATAACGAACCACGAAGAGAGGGGTAGACAATCACTTGTCGCGAAGAACTGGCTACGGAGCAATGTCAAGCAATGTCTTTTCATAAATTGAATTATACAATCGTCAGCCAACACTAAAGCTCGAGAGATCCATACGAGCCAGATACTCAAAGGACATCAAGACTACATAGGCTTGGAGTTAGCTGGTCCAACATCCCCCCACAATCCAACCTGACAATCCCCACAACCTTACCCTCGGTGCGCGATTTTCTGCACACACCGATATAATTGCTTTTACATCACGAAATCAACATCCAATCATCAAACAACGATGGTTAACACCTCCGGGGATGTGGTCTAGTGGTATGACGTTTCCTTAGCATGCGATAAAAGCATGGAAAAGGTTCTGGGTTCGATTCCCAGCTTCTCCACATTTTTGCAGTTTTCCCTCTCTCTCATCTGTGTCCATGATGGCTGCTTTTATTTTTCCACAGCACCGTTAACCTCAATCGCGTCATTCCAAACAGGTCTCAGGATTGCCCGCTATCAATAATGAGGCATTGGAATGCTGCCATCACCAAAAACACGTGCACACAGTGTAACGTTCCAGCATCATCCATGGCATGTGATGGCTCAGTATGCGGTTCAAGTGAGTGGCTGGCTGGCAAGGCCCGAGCCGAGAATGTCAGGCCACAAGTAAAAACAATGTCTTGCTGCATTAAAGCCTCACCCGTCCACTAGTACATTATTCCTACCTATGATTGATATGCAATGACTTTCAATCGGCTGATCTGTATATTACTCTTTACGCCAGCTATGGACAGGTGTGATATACTACATTTGGCTTTGTGAGCCAGAAATGGAGAACGCTGCCCCATAGCGTGTGGGATACACATTGATCTTAGCATTATTGTTGTTGTTATCAATGAAAGCATACTTGGAAAGTACTCCCTTCAGATGGTTACAATCTTCAGGAACTCCAGCTTATAGCTACTGCTGAATGGGAAGTAGCAGCGCTCCAACTTGAGAGACCACCACTTCTTGTGCCTGTCCGTAGTGGCGATTCAAACTGGAAACTCCGGTTACGGGATCAAATTCTGGTACAAGACTTCTGTTGACCTACTGATGTTCCGTCATCTCTTTATTCCTCGCTTTACACACGGCAAGTCCGTATGAACCTCTTTGGATCATTTACGTCTTCAAAGTCTTGGCAAATCATCAAGAGTGGCACATGCTCGTGATTGGCACTGTCTGTAGCTACAATATGAATCAAGATCATACCAGAAGGGTAAATCGAGTATGCGACATAGCCTATGCCGTATCCTGAGGTGTTGACCGTGGCAGGAAAGCCTGCCTTCATTGAGGCGGTATATCCAACCTCCAACGAATCAAGTTGGAATCATGACAACCACCGACATCTCCAGCATCAGTGTTTCAAGGCTCGTGAGCGTCAACGATGGCTGGTGGCAGGTGCAATATAAATATCATGAATTCAAACCATTATTTGGTCATAATTAGTCCATCATCAATCCAGCTCCAAACAGACCATCATCACGATGCAGTTCAAAATCTCTCTTGCCCTTGTCGCCTTGTCAGGCGCTGCCATTAATGCCACCCCTATTGATATTGTGGGCGATGTGGAATGCCTCGTCGTCACTGTTGTAATCCAAGTCCTTGCGGCACTCACCTCGGAGACTGCATTTTGCTCGTCATATTTGAACATTCCAACAATTACCAGCACTACTACCGCAACGTCCACCATCTTTACAACCACCACCAGGACGACCACAACAGGCACAGACACTAGTACCGCCCGAGCTGTAACAGTCACCGATACTGTGTATGTGTTGACTTGTGATACCCTCGAGAGTTCATAACTAACAAGAACATAGATCCGAGACGACTACCACATGCGCGCTCAATGCAATCGACAAGCGCCAGCTGTCTGCCATTTCCCCTAGCAGCAGGTCTGCAAGTACAACCAGGTCAGCTTCTCAAGTTAGTGTGCAAGCCAGTGTCCAAGCGAGCGCTCAAGTCAGCATACCTGCTGCTGTTGCCATTTTCGGTAGCGCACAGGTTTCCTTGGCCTGTAGCTGCTTGAACATTCCCACACCCAGCACGACTATTACCCAGACACGCACTGTCACCCCGACCGTCACCCGGTTAGCCTCCACTGCTATACTGGTCACTACTACGCCTACAACCACGATCGCAGTGACGTCCACTTCCACAGAGATTGTCTGCCCAACCCCTACCTCGTGCGACAACCAGGGCTTGCTTTGGGCCGAATACCACAGCGATGCGGGAGAAAACCGAGACCCTACTTTTAGCAGCTTTATACCAGAGATATACAAGTCCCGCACTCCAGGCGTCTGGGGTATAACCTCCACCATTGGTGGCATAAGTGTGCCCGGTGGAACGGAACTCAGTGTCTATGGTAGCAGCCGAACCTTTTACAGCGACTTTTTTGCCCTCAACCACAAGGGCTACCTGTTTGCGGTTCTCTCGGGCATCTATACATTTAATGCTTCCCGAGTCGACGATATTTTCTTTTTGTGGTTGGGCCCCAAGGCTTACTCTGGCTGGACCCGCGCGAATGCGGACCTGGTCGTGCCAATTTACAATCCGGGCAGCGGTAGCACGTCTATTGACTTGGTCGAGGGCCAGTACCTGCCCCTTCGCATCATGTTTGGCCAGGGCGCATATCCTGCCGAGTTTCAAATTAGTGTGACTGCGCCAGACGGTACCGTATTCCTGACGTCGGACACTGAGAACAGCCCATATATTGTGCAGTACTCTTGCGACGGTGTCACTGCCCCGCCATTTGCCTCGTGGGGCTCGGAGTATGATTTACCTGATGTTAATGATAAATAATTATCAGAATGGATTTGAAAAGCGGATAAGGTCTACAGGACTGATTATAGGATGCAGAATATCCAGCGACAAGGACGAGATGGATTTCGCAAGTCCTTGAAGACACTCGGACTGATTTGTATGGTCAATAGATGAATTGCTTTCAGGACTGTTATTCTTTCAAAGATCATTTATTCGATTCATTACATTATTGTTCTTTTTACGCTGCTCGTCATGACCTCGCTTCCATGAAAACTATGAATGTCCCGCAGAACAATATCTAGACTAATGCTATTTGCAAAGAGCCACAATGAAAACAAGTGCCCTCATTTCAACACGAAAAGAGATCATGTTCTTGCTCCGTATTAGAAAGCTCCTCCAGGTCGACGTGCCAACAAAATCATTGACTCGAATTATATCAGCTCAAATTCCTGCACTTTCGCTTCCCCCCTTTCCAAGATTCCTCTGGCCTGACCATTCTCGAGACCTAGAACAAATGTCTGGCAAATGTGTTTATAGAAAGATCCACTGGGTCGCAGTATTGAAGGCATGCTCCCTCCATCAAGAATGCATAGCAAATCTCCTGGCTTGACTTGGAAAGGGCCCGTAATACATAATCTCCCGGACTCGGTAAGAATGAGATTGGAACAAGATTGGTTGAATTGTAGATTCCATTTCAGGGTGTGCATGAATTCGTCTACTGGTATCTCTCTTGGGTCCGGACGCAATAGAGAGACCTGATCCAAAGTATGGAGTGGAACGCAGCTCTTGTAAAAATCCAGGCCAAGAGCGGCAATCTCTTGCTCTCTTGTCCCTGCATGAGCAATTCTGGTTCTCACCTTTTTCCGAAGGTACTCTGCGCATGAGCACTCCCAATCGTCTAGCAGCGAACTCCTCTTATCATGTTCCGTCTCCATAAGTAGACGTTCCCACATTATTGTCTTCACAAGAACATCGACTATCGGCACGTCCTTGTTGAGTGACTTCATGCCTCTTGCAACGTCAAGAATATCGGTATTTTTGCGCAGTGAAAATGAAAGAGATTTTTCAGAAAACCCATCTAGAACGATGGCGGATACAAGCAGGCGATTGCCGCTATCATCATTCAGCACCATTGCTGGTGTGGTGTCGTTCGCAAAGACGCCCTTGCACGACGAGCTCTGATATCCAAATGGTGCTTGAGGCCTTTTGAGGCCGTGTGTTTTTTCCCATGATGACACGAATGGATAGTGAGGAGCCCAGGACGGCATGAGGTAGGACGAGAAGGCCTCACTGATCCGTCGTGACATCATATCCGGGTTGCAGTGGGCGTATTGGAGGAAGTATAGTTGTGGTAAGTCCTCACGAAAGCTAGAATTCCAATCTCTTAGGTATGCTTTTATGTAGCTGCTATACACATCCGCAACAGACTGAGAGTAGTCAACCTGGATTTCAATAGGTGCAATCGCGAGGAGGCCGTATATATGATCTCTTGGATTTGTGGCTTTAAGGCTGCTACCGCAGTTGAAAGATGTGAGCCAATCTTGCAGTAAATCGTCTTTTGACCGCGCTTGTTGCAATGTCTGAGGCACGCCAATGGCTTGCGTCCTGTTTGCAGGAGGCTTGGTGCCGCTGCATTTGGTGAGGGCAAAGACCTCGATAATGCTCCACACGACATCGAAACCGCTTGTCGCGACGCTTCTCCAAATTTTTGGATTGATACCGTCCGGCTTGGGCCCGCGTATGGCCTCGTTGCGCCATCTGCTCAAGACTTTCAACTTCCACCACTCAACGCGTTGTGTTTTGTAGGTCATAATTGCGTTCGATGCTAGAGTGACTTCTTGCAGGATCCAAACCCTGGACCAGTATGGAATATTCAGGTAGAAGAAAACGCCAAAGTCTTTTAGTCTTGAGGCCAGCTCAGGTGATTCTTTGACGCAGTCAAGGAAATTAGTATTGGGTGGTTGCGAAAGCGTTACAAGATCCCTGTCCTGCATGTTCACTAGGCCTGCATTCTGCAATCTCGCGATCAGTTCATCGATCGATCGAATGGCATCCGTAAATAGCCCTTCGCTGAAGAAGTCGTCTTGATACCAGAGGCAGCACACAACGAGCTCTGCCATCGAAAAAATGCGCGACATGAGCGGAACCTGAGAGTTCTTCTCCGCCTCGTCGCGCTGATTTATGCACAGCGCATCGGCCCATAACCATATATCAGGTGGCTTGCAGTCGCGGAGGGCTTGGCAGTGATGGAGCGCGCTGTCTACCGCTGGCAATAGCCCTCCGATTGTGACTCTTATGTCCCTTCCATTGATAATTATATCTTTTTCCTCTGGTTCACCCCATACGTACGAAACGCAGGTGAAGGGGGGCCTAGTAGGGACGTCGTCGTCCAGCGATACCGTGCGAAGGTCAAAATTGGGCACATCCGTGGCCTCGCGGGCCAAGACTCTGAGCAGCCTAATTTCCGACCGACCTGGATTCAAGGGAGGATATATGTTATTAACCACCATGGCACTGCCGGGAGTATCGAAGGCTTAATTGATAAAAAGGCAAGATACTGATGGGCCAGGGCTAACTTGAAATTGATGTTCATGCCAAGGAGGCAGCTTGTGATGTTTCCTCAGGATGGATGGAAAGAGAGAGACCTGAAAGATTTCCTCACGTAAGCTCGTCTAGGATCCGAGATTTGTCACGGAGGTTCGGAAAAAGTGCTGACCGACTCCCGCTGCGCCACAAATTGTACGTGTATTTCGTTGGGGGAGGTTGACTGCAACTCAGAGCCAGTCTAGTATGCCTTGCATGCGCTTTCTAGATACAGATTACTGGTCAAATTTGAATGATTAATATTTTGCAGCTTAAGAAGTGATATAGACTCTAGGTGGGGTCGGCACAATCATTATCGAAATTGAAGAGTATGATTCAAGATGATCCACTTGCAGAAGAGACGTGCGAACAAATAGACTTACTAAAGCCTCCCCGTTGTGTCACCAAGGGTGCTATGCAAAGGGCCACCATGCGGGGTACCAGGGGTTTTGCACTTGACTCGGTTGTTTTCATATTTTGGACATCTCTCGTGACCACGGCCAGGATGATAGACTGATGGGCCACATAATGTTTCCTATCTTGGCATCTGCCGCAGTAAAGATCCTCGACGATCTGTGATATGATATTTTGCATTTTCACTAAAAACATACAAGTAATGGACACTCGAGGCACGGGAATTACTGAACGAATACCAACAATGAAGCCTAACATGACTACGCCTTGCGTCGTTTTGATATCCGCAAAGATCCCACCGACAAACTGCCGATGCTGAATATTCTTTTCCTCCCCACAGCAGGCGAATCTCTGCCCTCTACATCGCCGCCTTCGCCCAGGCCGGCATTCGGTATGCTTGAGTCCCTTTCCTCGGGATTTGCATCATATAATATCTTTTTCATTAACTCGTGTATCGCAGAATCGCTTTCTCGGGCATCATGCGGCTTGTATGCATCTGTACCCTTGTTGGCGCCGTCCTGCGTCGCCGTGAGCAATTCTTCCAGAGTCGGCCGCTTTTTACTGTCGGTAGATACACATTGGGCAACCAAGTCGCGCAGCTCATTGTCCAGGTTTGGGTATATCTTGCCGTTCCCGTGCGGCAGTATCTCTGTCGCAAGGGTCTCGTAATCCTTGTACGTGGACTTTTCGCGAGGGCGGATTTGACGCCTTGCTATGAGGCTGAGAATTCTCTGCATAACTTGGATGTCAGATTGATGATACTTGTCTCAAATACTTGAAATGATATGGTTAATTGCAATGCAAGTGATCTACTTACCAATGATACTTTGTGTATGTTTTCCGAGGCTGCACGCGTTCCCGCTTCGTAAGCCTCGCCAAGATCAATTAGCTTCATGGGCGGAAGCAAGCTGTGTTCGGGAAACTCCGGCGTATCATATTGTCTTCCAATCATGATATTATCGCTATGCAGGTCGCCATGTATCAAATTCAGAGCTGTCCCGTTGCTTATTATTTCGAGGCGTCTTCCATGTGTGGTGGAAGGCGTGGGAGGATATGACAGGCCTACGCATGCCCTTGCCACTATCGTTTTTGGGATACATGTTAGATTTGGATCAGACTTGTGCTACTGATGACGACCATTGATGCCCTTGGAGCAAACTCACAACATAAAAAGAAAGACCACAGCGCGCGATTGGGAAGCTGCAGATCACGCTCTTTCAGGCGATTCATAAGTTGCGACAATGTCCCATTTGGAAGATACTCCAGTCCGATAATTGGATCTTCCAGACTCCAAAATGCGAGACTCGCTGGAGTTTCAAATCTTTGCGTATTGTTGCTCAAAACCCGCAAGAAGGGCGATATCTTACGCGGATTAGAACCATCACGGGACGCGAGCATCTGTACGATATGTTCACAGCCACGTAGTTGCTACCTGTTTTAGTACGAGAAATGCCTTTTTCCCCCCTCAGGGCGAAGAATGCTTACTGTAAGGTAGTCAATCTCTTTCTTCAAATCTGCCTTTGGTCCCTCTCCACCCTTGGCTCTTTTCACCACCATTAGACGGCCGGGCAGGTATGGATTTATCTCTCTCACTAGGATGGCGACGGCGTTTTCCCCATCGCCAAGAGATCTGACTAAACGCCAGTGAGGTCTTCTTCTTTGGAAATGGTCAATTAATTCATTGCGTATCTTGTCAGTCTCGTCTGGGTCTGTCAGGTCAAACACTTGTGCCGCCATGAAATGTACGTACGCGGAGTGTTGTCATACGCTCTATTGAATGTACAAGAAATGAATAGACACAAACTTGTTGCTGATAGATCCGTGGAATCGATGTCAGATTCGTTTTGTGGAGAGCTACGTTAATCCGCAAACAGGCTCGTGAGATCCCACTTGACAAAGAAAATGACAAAGAATTGTACTCATTCTTTATGATTTCCAAACATAAATCTTTTCATATTTCCCAGCCCTAATCTTCCAGATGTTGAGAGTGAACAAAGGACCAATTTCAAGCGTGCGAATATACTTGAAATCTGTCTCGGACTCGCTGTCTGATCATGCAATGATTCGACTAAAGCAACATAAGCCACATTGCATCTCCTTTGCGTTTGAAATATCAATCTTTTGCTCGTAATCAAGCAAGTTAGGAAGACTTGAAAAACACGACTTTAGTAACTATAGTGCTAATGAATAATGGAATTTTATTGACAAGCGTCTAGCGAGTGTGATCTGTAGGATTGTTCAGGCTTATGTACTGGGATATCGTAAATCGTCATGTCCTGGTTGGCATCCTTGTTAGGTAGGCTCGATCGACTGCACATTACAGGGTTACACCAAGAGCAATGCTACATAACTTTTACTGGTGTAAGCCTTTGCGAAAACGTTGAGTAGTTCTGCAGCAGTATGGAGTTTTCGGGTACCATTCGATTGGATTGGGGATGTGCATCAAGTATATACGTAACTTATATACACAAGGTTGCTAGTGATTGCCTACCCCAGTTCATGTAGGACTGAACCGAAAACCGATGATCCTCTCGGGACGGATTAATGACACCACAGGGTGGAGTCGTTGCCATTTGAGACTATACCGAGAACGGTTTACAATCTCAGGCTTCCTGCAGGAGAGAGGCGCGGACTTGAACATGGGTCTCAAGTGGAGCCGGCTTATTACGTAGAGGGGAATAAATCCACCATAAAGTGTTGAACAGTCAGGTAGCTGCAGGGTAGACGGGGGGTAGATGCATGTATATATTCTTGTGACTGGTTGATCCGTACAAAACTGCTACATCGGGGATATTTTCTGGTACTCCATATGTATGCAAGGTTCTCACCAGCTGCAGAACAGCTGGTTCTTCCCCCGTAGGGCCATAATTCAACAAACGCGATTGTGCGCGGCCGCGTGCTTCTTTGCTTCTCACTCCTCTGCTTTGCCTATCCCTGACTGGACACGATCAACCTTCTTTCATACGTATCTGTTAGCCGACATCTTCCTGCACGACGACCACACTGTGACAGGACACGGTACCGTGGGGCGCAATGACAGACTCGGGGCTTCGATTTATCACAGTGGCTGGCGGAGAAAAGCCAGATGCGGCGTCGCGCAAAAACATCCGCAGCCATGTCATGGTGGGCAAGAACCGGGGAAAGAAGTTTCCTAATCGGAAGCGAAAGTCCAAAGTACAAACTGCGGCTGAAGATCCGCGCGAGCCCGCGGGGACCTTGTCACGATCTATCATTGCGTCCTTGACCGCAGTTCCACCCAAGTTTGGATCTGCCCTGTCGACGATTCACTTTGCAAATGATGTGCAGCCTAGAGAGGTCGAGATTGTTTTACGATGTAAGTATACAGGCGCATTACCGCCCAAGTGTACATGTCTCTTCTGTTTGAATTTCCAAGAATAATCCCTGACCAAGTGCACTGGCTTGCAAATAACAGTCTGCTCCATCCTGGGGAAATCGAACTCCGAGTTACGGAGATGTATTGAATGGGAGAGACGGCAGCATAATTGGCTGCCAACATTATCATTCGATCCGGCCCTCTTACACGCTTCGATTTTCGTGTCAAGGCGGTATTTTCATACTGTGGCGCCTCGCAACTATTCTACTAACAACCAGGCCGACTTGCCGCATTTGCTGCAGGCTCTTCGCCTATTGCGAGAGAACATTGCCCAGAAGAGCGACGTCATTCCCCTTACCACCGTAATAACGGTCCTTTGTCTCGCTATGGATGCGAATATGATGGGCGACATGAATACTGCCATGAGTCATATGAAGGCTCTCCGCCAGCTGATTGACATGCACGGAGGAGTTGGAGCCATGAGAGCTCACCGTACAATTTGGGACGAAATAACGTTGAACAAATTGATAAGGTAATGCACAATGCTACAAATACTTGCTAGTCGAGACTGGGCTCTAATCAGTGGGGCAGATGCGACATTGCCATCATTCTGGGTGGTGGGTCGAGGAACACGTTCTACGACAGCATAACGGCCAGTGAGCCTTTCACGCCGTACCCCTCCAGAGTCGAGGGACCCCTTGAGATGGGCAGTCCCACGGGGACCGTCTCTGAAGCGATCACGCTCAAGACCCCGGCCACATTCCCTGGCAACAAGCCCGATGAACTGGCTCGCGCGTGGCGAGCAATCTCTGACTTGTGCATGATGATGGATTCTGCATCCGTACAAAAGAAACCGATCCCTTTTCAGATTTTCCTCGACACCATGGCGGCCGTAATCTATCGCCTGCTTGCCATGGATTTCGACCCTAACTCGGCAAGCGAAATTCTGCGGATCGGCCTTCTCATCTTTTCATACAACACTTATATTCAGTGGCAGGTTTTGGGGGTATCATATTCCGCGGTGGCGGCCGAATTCAAGGACTGCTTGATCAACATCGACTCACTGCAATTGGATTCATCTCTTGCGCTCTGGCTCGTCATGGTTGGATCGACAATGATATTCGACGAGACTGATGACTGCTGGCTCAAGCCTTTGCTGCGCAGGTATGTGAAATCATGTGGAATCAAATCTTGGAGCGAGATGCAGTATATTTTAAAGTCAATATTGTGGATTCCACTCTTCCACGACACAGGTGGACAAAGCGCATTTCGCTCAATCATGGAATGATTGGCATGTAGTACGAATGCAAACTCCTCATCGAAACTGTATTTATATCGATAGCAAAGCAGCCGAAATGCAAAATGATTGGGAAGGAACCCGAAATATGTGACCCTCTTTTGCACCTCTCCGCTGTTTCCTTTAATCACTATAGTCGTAATTGCTGGCCTCATCATCATACTCATCGGCCGAGGGGAAATCATCTCCGTCATCGCCATCTGAGTAATTCTCACCACTCGTCTGCTGGCCCTCGTCGTCGTCACTCGACTGCTGATCATAATCTCCATCATCCCCATCAGTCTCGTCGTCGTCAGTACCGTCAGCTTGTTCATCATCTTCGCTGTCTTCGTCATCATCCTCAATATCGGTGGCTTGATCCTCATCGCTTGACCCGTTATCTTCAGAGTCACCGTCGGAATCTGTTTGTTGCTCTTCATTCTCAGAATTGCCGTCGTCACTCTCATTTTCCGAGTTGTCCTCCATGTTTGACTCATTCTCATCGTTCTCATCTTCATCGTCAGTAGCCTCTGGTGTGTCTTGATCAGATTCATCAAAAGCTTCGTCGCCGGTCTCGTGGTCGGCATCGCTGTGATGTTCATCATCAGAAGAATCGCTTTGATTGGACTCCATTTCGTGTTCATGATTGAAGTCGTCAACATCGCTGTCTTCATCAATGACATTGTGTATGTCCGCATCCGACTCATCTTCACGATCAGTGTCCAAATCATCCAAGTTCGCATCCTCTCCAGCAGCCGACGATGGTGCAGAGCTAGGCAATGAGGTGTGATGCACGGAATCAAGCGGCGAGCCGGGCTCGCTATTATGCGGAGACCCTGGCGCACTGTCTGTATCTAGCAAACCGGACGCAGCGGCACCCAGTGCTACCCCGGCGGCAAAGGAAGCAGCCGCAAGACCTGCCTTTCCGGGACCTGCCGTGCTAGTGTCCTGTTGTGCTAAGTTTCCACCTGAAAACTCTCGTTGACTAGGTCCTGGCTCAGATTGACTTGGATCTTTAGTTCCTTGCTCCTGGCCCAATTTTCCAGAATACTCATTCGAATCAATCTTGGAACCGGGAGGTGAATGGTCATTGGGTTTATTTTGGCTTGGACTTTCACTGGTAGTCGATGTTGAAGGTTCGGACAGGCTAGGCTTGGTCTGATCCTTGGAGGGATCACTCTGACTAGGTTTTGCCTCTTCAAACTGGTCTGTTGGCTTCTCTTTAGGCGCAACGCTGTCATCTACGGGCTTCGAAGGATGATTCTGTCCTGCCGGTGTGGGTGCGGTACTGGGGGTACCTGGATAATTGAATGCCTTGTCAATGGCAACTGGTGGACCACCTATCCCACGCGCAGTTGTTTCGCCCAACGCAGCTGTCTGGCCACTGCTCGTCGCACCAGTGTCACCCACTGCAGATGTGCCGGGAGGGTCAGAACCTGCAGGCGGATCTCCAGTTGCGGGGTCGGAACTTCCGGTGCCAACGATGCCGGCATCCGGACGACCCGCATTGGGATCACTCGGCGGCACTTCTCCCGTAGGAGGAGTATCTGCGCTGCCTTCATGTTGTGACTGAGGTCTGTTCGGCTCAGGGCCTTCCGGCTCGGAGATGTCAGGCTGAGGATTCTCACTACCGGAGTGTTGACTGATTATATCGTCGTCAGAAAGCCACCCAGGTTCGTTTTCATCACTATCCAATACTTGCTCTTGAGATAAATAGTTCTCATAATAATCGGACACTGACCAGTCATCCTCTGGTCCCTCGCCTTCCCCAGCTTCGTTGTCAGAGTTCTGAGCGCTGATATCGGATGCATGGGAACCGCCGCCTGGATGACCCTCATGATGACCCTCATGATGACCCTCATGATGAGTTCCATGATGCGCTCCATGATGAGTTCCGTAATGAGTTCCGTGGTGAGCTCCATGGTGACTTCCATGATGGCTTCCATGATGGCCTCCATGGTGGCCTCCATGGTGGCCTGTTATCTTGGAAAAATGTGGTTTGACCGAAGGCATCTTTGGAGGCTTATGTGCTATAGATATGCCGGAGTGGCCCCATTCCGGCTTTTGGAGCTTTGACAACCCTAGATTAATTTTAGGTGGCCGCACCTTGCCGTGGTCATGGCGCAAAGGGGCAGAACCTAACAATGTACTGCGCTCATCTTTAAGCTTGGGCAGTTTTTTCGGTGCCGAGTTATTGGGAGATGATTCTGCGACGGGCTTCTTGAGCTTCTCTCCTGTCTTCTCTGCTTTTCCTGTTTTGGTTTCTGCTTTCGTCCTAGATTTCTCCTGGGTAGTTCCATGTTCGTGGTCTGCCCCTGGAGTTTTGGTCTTGGTCTTGGTAGGCTTGATAGTACCCTTTGACGCCCGGTCATCGCCAGTGGTCGAGGCCCCTATTTTCTGCTTTCGCGCAGGCTTGATGGGCGCAGACTCGGTGATGGACTTGATGAATTGAGTATTGGCTACCACATCTTTCTGCTTCCCATCCTTGGTAGCGCCTAGAAGTTTCATGATTGGATCATTCTTGGGAGGCAGTCCTGGCCCCTGGAGGACCACCTCGCCGCTGCCCTCGCGCTTCTTGGCTTTTGCCAGAAGGCGCATCAAGGGTCCATGGGACTCCATGGCCTTACTATCGCTCAGTGCATCTGCTCGACGTTGATGATCAGCCAATGTCAGATTGACGATGGGACTGTCAAAGGGGATCGGGTCGTATCTTGTCCAATTCTTGGTAAAGGCAGGTTGGACGGGGATTCCTGGAGAAACTACTGAACCAGCAGTAGTAGTAGTAGAAGCTTGCTTGATTGATTTTGTCTTCTCTTTCTTTGTGACCGAGTCGATCTCTGTGTGCTTGATGCCCTGGCTCGAGGTTCTCTTTTTGGCCTGTACCTTGGATTTCTCTGGCAACTGAGGCAACATTGACGTTCCAGCGTCTCCTATGACTCCTACGCTTATCGTAGTGCCTCCCATTGTGGAGACCAGAGGTGCATGAGGCAATTCGATGGAGGAATCTTGTGCGACTTTCAGAGAAGGCTTTCTGGTCTTTGTTGCGGGCAGATTTGCAGTGGCGGGTTGTGGACTAGCCTTTACTCCGCTGTCCCCTTTGAGAGTACCATGAGACGTATCCACATTGACTGATGTGTCGACGTTGGCGGCTGACGAGCTCACCTCGACAGATGACTGCTTGGAGCGTTTGGGCTTCTTGGGTGCGGCCTCGGCGGCAAGATTCGCTATGAGTGGCACCGTCTCGTCGATTGCATTGGCCGCGAGGACCTCCTTCAACTTTGATCCAGACGAAGAGCTTTTCCTCGAGGCCGCCTTTTCAGTTGTTGAAGTCTTTTTTGTAGGCTTTTCCCCTGTTGGCTTCTTCTCCAATACATCCCTGGTCGCTGACTTCTCTTTGGGAACCTTGACGACTGCTAAATCCTCCTTTGGTGCTTTATTGAGAGATGATTTCTCGATTGAAAGCTTCTCAGACGAGGACTTTTCTGGCGTCTCAAACGCCAATAGCCCAATGTTGGGTGCATACTGCACCGGCTGCACTGGTGGCTCCTTGAATAATGACTTGTACGACACACCGACTCGCGATGCAATGGCATGATCAGCCTCGAGCGTCTTGTATGTAAAGAGATGCCATGCTTTGGTCATGTGTAGCTGGTCGATATAGAAGGGCTTCCCTTCATGTACCAGCCACGCCCAAGGCTGCTCGGCACTAGAGATCTGGGAAATGGGCAAAACAATAGCGGGAGTGACGAGTCGAGGTGTAGTGCCGCCAATCTGTTTTCCATGTGCCGGAAACCCTTCGGCGCCTGCCTGGAACATCTTTGGATCAACGTTACTGGACGCCGTGATGTCTGGCCAGACGCCTGGTGGTGGATTGGGAGCTTGAAAGGACGAGGCCTGTGCATTTTCAGACACCGCAGCGAAAAAATGAACTGGAAGATTTGACCAGTAGTTGAATCCATTGGGGATGACCGAGTTCAGACAAGCATCACACAGCCTTTTCGTGTCCAGAAAGCTGATGCAGATTGACGGAGGGGTAAAATGAAAGAATCCAAGACGACTCGGATATCGTCGAGAACTTTGAGAATCTTCGGCGTGATACTTTGGAAAGTGGGAGCAGCCCAACCCTGGGCCGTTGAGATATTGAGAGAGGTACTCTGCTGAACCTGGAGTCGACATTGTGCTTGTGAGTCGGAGATGGCTCTTGCATCTCCTGGTTGATTTTTGCTAGTGGTCTAAAGTCTGTCTTGTTTAGGGGCTCAAGCTGCGAACGTCATTTACTTCTATGTTTGACTCTCAATGGTTCTGTCTTAATGTTGCGTACAATAGCAAATGACCTGATATGGATGCCGACCAAAGCCATGGCCATGACGGCGCGTATAGTCCAGTTTTAGCAATAGGGTCTATTCATAGTCTCCACAGTACCGCAAGTGGAAACTCCAGCGTCTAAGCAGCGCCGTGGGTGGTGGGGTCACAGATTATCTTTGCTGCTCTTATTGGCATAACGTCAGCCACTATGCATGCAGACTCCCACCACAATTAGAACAGCTCACAGTCTTGAGGGATACATGGTGAACAAGTTCCTGCGAGGCTGCAGTCGGCAATTCTCAGCTCGCTGCACATTACCAACTTGGAGATGACTCCGGCGGCCTAGTCGAGGGCCTTCTGGAGTTTCAGCCCCAAGTTCATAATAGAAATGCCAAGAAACTCAAAGCAGAGCTAAAAAAGTGCACTTTCATGCTGAGGGGAGATCATGGAATCCTCCGGGTAATGGCAAGGCTGGGAGAATGGGTATCTTGCAATACCCCAAGTACATCAACAACATTTCCTCTTCAAGCTACCGTAATGATCTCCATGTATCATAACCAAGCCAGCAATTAATAGTTGGTTCAACGCCATTCAGACTTGTCGAGTTGGCTACCGAGTATTCTTCAGAAGTCTTCATGATGATTTCCGTCTTTCCGAATCCAGCAAAACACCAGTTGCCATTGTCCTCAGATCCGAGAAAATCAACTTTCAGCACATCCTCTACTATTAACATGAATTCACCAAGTCCGCCCCAAGGGCAACTCGGCCCGAAAAAAAGAATGTCAATGTTTCGACTCGACAGTCAAGTACGGCGCACCCAGCAAGACGAACATCGAGCGCAAGAACTCATGAATGCACAAAATCCTCATTCGAATAGTGACTTCACGTACAAGGAGGCCACCGCCGTCCTTGAACTTATCGCCGAAGGAACCATCGCAAATGTGACGCCAGGACTAGTTGAAGTCCTGCTCGAAGACTTCGATGCAGACGTCAATCTCAAGAGAAGGAAGAGCAACAGCTTGTGGAAACGCATGTCTGACAAGGACCAAGAAGATATTCGGAGCAAGCTCTTGGAAAAAGCAGCACAAAATTGCTCAAGCGAGATCTTGTTGTTGTTGGCACAATATGCCGACGAAGTAGCCGTGAATCAGGCACTTCCACACGCCATTGCGCAGAACAATCTAAATAAAGTCAGCATTCTTCTCGCCAGAGGCGGCGACGCGACATCCCTATGCTCGCAGTTTGCTCAAGTCCTCGAGTCAGGATCAGATGAAATAATCACCAAGTTGATGAACCGTAACAAAGGTGCTTGTCAAGCATGCCGTGACAAGGGGCTCGTTCGGGCGGCAGAATTGGGTTTCACGACCAAGGCCAGAATACTGCTGGAAAATGGCGCCAATATCATGTTTGGCAATGCTGCTGCACTCTCGGCCGCCGTCCGCCGCGGTTGCGATGATATCGCCTCACCAATCGCGCTCCGTGGAGTGTCAAGCATACCCAAGGAAGTCCTGGACGGGGTTCTTGGCGATGCCTACCAGAAGGGAATGTTGCGAACGGTGGTGTCATGCCTCCAAGCAGGGGCAAAAGGCTCAAGGACAGATGCAACATTGACAGAAGCGGTTCGACATGGCCAGTTTGAACTGGTTAGCAACCTTGTTCAGCACGGGGCTGCCGTCAACCACTCATCAGGTTCTGCTGTCGTTTGTGCAGTAGAAAGTGGTCGGCCAGAGATGCTTCGCACTATTCTGGCTGGCAAACCGAGCCTGGAAAGCATGGCCGCTGCAATGATGCAGTCTGCTAAGCTGGGAAATATCCAGTCTTGTCAACAAATGATTGGCCTACTCCTGGCTGCAGGCTTCCGCGGCGAAGCAACCAGCCTTGTTCTGATTCAAGTCATGGATAAAAAGCAGATTAAAGGCGAAGAGCGCATTCGTCTTGGGCTAGTTCACCTACTTCTCACCAAAGGTAACGCTGATGTCAATCTGCGTGCTGGATGTGCATTGGGCATCGCGGCTGCTGAAGGGTGGATGGGCATCCTTGACGAGCTCCTCCAATCTCGACCTTCTTTCGAGTCTCGAGTTTCTGTCCTTCGATCTGCAATGAAGCTACAGCCCGCTGCACGAAAGCGGGTCGTTGGAAAGATATTTGAAGGTGTGCGAACGGATCAGAAACTCAGAAATCAGGTCAAGGACGCCGCAGTGACATTGGCGGCCAAGTCACTCCACCTGGACGTGCTCACGGAGCTGACGCAATATGGACTCGATGAAGTAACTGTCCAAGCCGGGTTTGATGCTGTTGTATCCACTGGGACAGCATGGATGAGTGCTGCTGGACTTCAAGTTGTGCAGTTTTTCCTAAACAAGGGTGCCTCGGGACAGTCTGTTGAGCATGCCTTTTACGAAGCCGCGACTGTAGCAGAGATGGATGCCTTTGATCTTTTGTCCACGTCGATTACATCGATATCGGTTCTAAACACTGCCTTGACAGGGGTGGCACGGCAGTCGAAGAAGTGGCTGTCTTTAGACGACCGCACCATTTGGCTTGTCGATTCCCTACTCGCGTGGGGAGCGCACGGTGATTGTGTCAATCTGGCATTCCTTGCAGCTCTGAGAGCGTACACGACTGGCGGCGCGTCAACAACTGTACTTGACCTGCTGCTCAAGGTCGGAAAAGCTGATGTCAATTTCCAACATGGCGAGGCTCTGAAGATTGCGGTCCGGAGCGGAGATGTGCCCTTGGTGACGCATCTTGCGTCCAACGGGGCATCCCAAGAGACCATGACCCACGCGTTCTGGGAGACGATAAGCTCGCCGCTGGAGGAGGATACTGCGCTGAAGCTCATCAATGCCCTAGTCTCGGGCAAGGATCGCGTCAGTAAGCCTACTCTGAGTGTAGTGCTGCCGGACCGTTGGCCTCATGTCTTTGAATGTCTAACGGCCCATCCCAACTCTGCAAAGCTCGTCAAGCGTCTTGCTGAGTTGGGTTGTGACATGGATGCAGAAATTGTCACTCAGTTGTACGACGACGTGAAAGAGCGAGCCAATGCACTAAGCTGGGCACTGCGCCCGTGTCGCGGGGTGCCAATCATCTCCACTGAAGCAATCGGGGCACTAATAGACCTAAAAGGTTCGCTACCCCCCCTTCCCCATGCCTAAAACCTTGCACTACATCATGTCGACGTTTTTTTCCTTTTTCCTTTACTGACAGCATATCCCTAATATAGTCAACGTGTGTTTCACTGCACCATTTTCAAAGGCGACTCCCGTCATCCTAGCTGCCAAACATTGCCGAGGAGAGGTTGTCAAGAAGCTGATCAAAGCTGGTGCCGATCCTTCGTTGCGCGACCGTGATAACAGGGCAGCCATTTTCCATGCTTCCAGTGCCGGAGACTTGGAAAGCGTCAAGGTCCTACTCAAGTCCAAATACCGGCCGAACGATGGAAGTCTACACGAAGCGGCCAGGAACCTGCATAGCGACGTGGTCGCAGCGCTTATCAAGGGCGAGTACGATGTCAACTTTCCCAGCAGTAGACTAGAGCACGAAGGGCGCACTCCATTACAGGAGCTGGCGTATCGCTGCAGAGGCGTCGACAGAATCCAGGACACTGAAGAGACCATCATGGCACTGAAGAAGGGCAAGGCTGATGCGCTAAAGAAGTGGCATGGCAAGACTTGTTTATTCCTGGCCCTCGACAATGAGTATCCTCTAGAGGTAACCCGAGCGTTGCTGGACATGATCATGTGGGACTACATGGACAGCCTTGATAATGTGCTCGCTACCACCGACGCGCACACGGGCGTCACATTCTTCAGATCTGCCACCAAGTATCTGACCGACTACAAAGAAAACTCGAAACAAACCTTTCAATTGCTGCAACTCCTCCAGACCAAGGGCTGTGTTGACCGCTACTATGCGCAATTCGGAGCAATGCAGCCGCCAAATGCCGTTGGCTTTCCGGAAGACATTGCCAAGGAAGAAAAACGTTACCGCGCAGAGGTCGAAAAGACCCGGAAGAGCGAGGCAGAGCATCAGGAGAAGCTGCGTCGCATCCAAGAGGAGTCGCACCTGAAGCTCACCATTGACGAGTCCAAGCACGAAGCCTGGAAGAACCACGAGTATCAAAAGGCCATTCACAAGGTCGGGTCATCGGCGATTGTGCACGAGAACGAGCTGCACCAGAAGGCGCAACTCACCGAGCAGCAGCGGTTGGCCACGGCGCAGAAGCATGCCCTCATGGAGCAGGACCGCCATAATCTGGAGATTCACAAGCAGCGGACCGCCGCCATTAGCCAGATGAAGATTGCCGGTGAGCAACAGATCAAGCTCAACTACGCACAGCGCACTGCCGACCAAAAGATGGAAGCCCAAAAGAATCAACTCTACTATGCTAAGAAGGCAGATACGCAAAGGATTGCGGCCCAAAATGCCCAGAACAATCTCAAGAAGCAGGCCAACCAGCAACAGATTGCGACCCAACATGCACAGAACAATCTCAAGAAGCAGGCCAACAAGGAACAGATTGCGATGAAGAAGAAGTTGCAGGCGATGAAACATTGATAAGTGGCCACTCAAAGTGGAACTTAATGGTAATTGTTGAAGAGAGCATTCCAAAGTAGATAGATTAGGTACTATCGCATACGTCTGGTTATTTTTCTATTGTACATATTTCTTCATTTCAGTAGTTTTAATAGCCTTTGATTCGATTTCATGTACACCATTTTTTATATCATATAAAGCAGGAAACACGCATTACAAAATCCTATACAAAGTGGAGACGACACTTTTGCCATGACATGATGTTGCCCTTGAGATCTGAGTGTTCTTTCGCACTGCCCCATGAGATAGATCTGCCCATTACAGATGTTTTAGAGCCCCTTGATAATTTGGTGGCGTTTTGGGCCTGTGTTGGGGGCTATTAATTCCAAGCGAGGTATGCTGTGGATCTCGTCTAGACATTTGGGGAGGATGTTCTGACCAAAGACATGCACCATAAGCTGCAGCCTCGTCTCGATGGGTGCTACGGGATAGTCTTGGAGGCTATCTCCTGCGGCGCAGACGACGGCCCCAAGCTCAGGGGTATTATCGCCGAGGTCTGCTTATAATATTCTCGGCCGGAGTTATTACAGGAGTGGCCATTGAAAGCTTAATTTGTGATATGACACAGATTGTACCGGGATAAATTTGCACTTCCTGCATTTAGATACCAACGTCAAGGGGAGGGTTGAAAAGTGTGGCCCCAATTATAGTTTTTTTCACATGCTCAGGTCCAGATATCAGTCCTGCATACCTGTTTCGAGAATGTTGATGCATGAACGTGCATATTCAAGCAAGGCTTTGAGGTCCATGATGTCCAGCAAGATATCCCGACAATTGGGATTCGCCAATCGTCCGGTGCGGCCGGGCCAGCCAGGATTGAATTGGTGCTCAGCCTCGACGTCCAAGTGGTGGTTTATGCATCTAGAAAAGCCACTGCTTCAGCTGAGCACCCCTTTTTGACCACCCCAGTGCATGGGGTCAAGACACGGAGCTCCCTGATCGGGCGGGAATACCCCCAAGTTCATGATTACGCAATTGGGGTTGCGCTCTTCTTGGTTTAGCGGTAGACGCCTTGGAACTTTCGCCCGCATAAGCGATCCGACCAGATGAGTTTCCATTGGTCGGAAAATTTTAGGACTGACCATGCAGTAAGAATATTGGTTTGTCTGATCCTCCGAGGTACATGATGAGAAAGTAGCTCTTCCTGGTTGCTCAGTGCTCAGCCTTATTGGAATTCTCACCATGGGCGAAGGTGTGACAGCCTAGAAAGGTTGTGTAAACCCAAATCATAGTTGCCATTAAGGATTCCCGTGAGAGACAATATAGAATTGAATATATACATAATCCATACCTAAAAAATCTCCAAGTGCAACCAAAATTCATGCAGTCTTGCGTCGTGCTTGTTTCAACTCAGTGAACTCCAACCTCAGACATGGCAACGATCGAAGCCACAGGAACTGTGCCTACAATGGCTACCAAATCACCTACAGGCGACGACAAAATTCCTTCCGCAAAAGTCGTTAACAAGGCGACACCTAAGACCAGCAGAAGAGGCTATGGGCTGAAAGTCTTGGTCGAGCCAAAGGACACAGACGATATAGACATTGAGTAAGTCGAAGCCAGTGCAGAGTTGCTTTATTACTTCGACTGCTAAACAGGAAATTGCCAGTATCGTAGCAGTCCACGGAATCGGCGAAGCCAAGCCAGAAGACGCATGGGTTCACCCAGATACCAAAGTCAACTGGCTGAGCGACCCAACCATGCTTCCTGATGCTCTCCCCAAAGCACGCATCCTTACATATAATTACGTCTCTTACTGGTACGGAGATGATGCAGTCAAGCAAAAGGTTGACACTGTCGCTGGGAAGATGTTAAATGCATTGGACGGAAAGCGGACAACTTGTGCTCAACGTCCTATACTGTTCATTGGTCACTGTTTCGGAGGCCTGGTAATTCAAGAGGTATGTTTTCTCGACGAGAGCCAACGAGAAACTGTATTGATGCATCACAGGCCTACAATATTGCAAACTCGCACCGTGAAGACCACCCAAGAGTGGCCAATTGTATCGCGGGTGTGGTATTTCTGGGCACTCCGCATGCCGGTATCCAGGATAGCGCCGCATTTAGCACACTGGGACAACTGTACCAGGGCATTGCACAGTCACAGCTCCCCATTGAGGATCATGCACTGCAGACCATGGCTCAAGATAATGACGTTCTTGTCAGAACCGTGCACACTTTCACTAGAAGCATCACCAACCAGGCAAGCAATGTTAATGCTACCAAGCTTTTCTGCTTCTTTGAAACTCAAACTAAAGTTATCGAGACAAACGGTGAAAAAGTGGTAAGTTAATCCTGTATCTTCTGTCGAGGAAGTCAATTATGCTAACCCTCGATCACAGAAGTTCCTCGTCCATGAGTCCACCACGACCTTGAGTGGTCATGAGAAAGAAGGCCTCCATCTTGATCACTTTGGTCTAAACAAGTTTGAGGCGCCCGACGACGACTGCTTCGAAGTTGTCAAGAACCGGCTGGTCAAGATTGCCAGCAATATTCAGAGGATGACTGACAGTCCCAGAGCGGGTAAGATGAACCCCCGTCGATACTGATGTTGGGATGAGATGGAGTATATAGGCCGGGGTGGCTCGACGTTTGGTTCGTCACTCTGCATCTCTTGCGGTAGACTCATGACCACATGAGTTGACGTAATAGAGCATCTGAGACTAACCACCTGAGACACTGGCGGATGCGAGGAGCTGTTTGTTATTATAGCAGAGGTGGAACATGTCGCGCTTGTCCCAGAGTCTTGTAATTTTACCTGCTCCACATCGTTTATATAGCCCACCCTCTTCTACATTAACACTGATGAGTTGTTTACACAAAATTCTAACCATCAAATTTCTCGCAGAACGATCGCCTCGCAATGCATTCTCGCCTCCGCAGTCTCCAGCTTCTCCGAGGAGACACCACATTCCATCGCTAGCTGCCCCAATTGCCCGAGAAGCCTACTTTGCAAAGAGAAACAAAATCCTCGATGTCGTGGACGAAAGATTCCATGCGTCAATGAATGTAGCATTGGTTGGCGAGTCTGGTAACGGGTGAGTGCACAAGATGTTACACTTTTGTGCCATTACATACTGACCAGCCCACGTTCAGAAAGACGCATGTCGCGGTAGAATATGCCCACAAGTTTCATGAACAACACCCCGATGCATCCGTACACTGGGTCAATGCCGGTAGTGCATCACAGTTCGAGCTCTCATTCAAACGAATCGGCGAAAACCTGCATCTGAGCAAGAAAAGTCTAGACAATGAAGACGTGCTCGAACTTGTGTATGACACTATGCGCCAAGATGTTGGAGGGCAATGGCTCATGGTGTTGGATGGATTGGATGACAAGAGCCGGCTCGTCGTGAAAGACGAAAAGGGGGTCGAGCGATGTCTTTTGGATTTCATTCCAAAATCTCACCGGGCTCGGATCTTGACTACCACTCGATCAAAGTCGTTGGCCATGACAATGGTGGCCAAGAAAGTTGAATGCGTCCTCGACATCCAAACACTGCCCGAGGGTGATGCGTCCTATCTCTTGTATGGAAAAGAGATTACCGACGAAGCCAAGAAGAAAGCTGCCGCCGATGTCTCAAAAAGGCTTGGAGGGTCGGCGGGGTTGCTCGTGTTAGCGCACACCTACAGAAAAGCCACACGCGCATCGTGGAAGCCGAGAAACTATTTGGACACCATTCGCGGGTCTGCTGAAGCCAAAGATGGCGATGACCCTGCACTGAGAGCATGGGAACCCATCTATCAAATCATCAAGGAAAAGAATCCAAATGCAGCACAGTTGCTACTCTTTATGGGTTCATTGGATGTTCAGAGCATCTCTACTGTCCTTTTTGAAAGACAGGAGCTTCGCCATATTGAGCAGCTGGTCGACTACGGCATGGTCGAACCATCCACTGACCGGAGGCTCTACACCGTCACACCTCTTATACGTCGGTGTGTGCAGACGTGGTTGGTAAAGACCAACGAGCAGGATGATATTAGAGAGCATTCCCTCTCCATCATGTGCGAAAAGTTTCCCATGGACGACGGCAATACAGCCGACCTCTTACTGCCATGCGCTCTTGTCGTTCTGGAATTTGAACCCAAGTCAGCGGAAGCAAAGCGCAATATGGCAACATTGTTGTTCAGAGTTGGTCAGCACCATGTGCGACTCAGGCGAAGACAAATGGCGCTTGATTATTTGAAAAGTTGCATATCGCTACAGGAAAGTGATCGAGAGAGTAAACCTGAAGCGAAAGAAGCAACGAAGCGCGCTATAGCCGAGGTTCAAGCCCAAGGGAAACAACTAGTCGAACAATCAAAAGCGCAACCACCGAAGAAACGTGAGGACGTTCAAATCGACAAGGCCAGGGCCGAACTGCGTGATCTTGAAAACCATCTAGGCAAGGATCACTACGAAGTAGTGCGAAAAGCTAGCGACCTCGCCAATCTACAGGTACTGCGCGGAAGCAAGCGTGACCATGACGAGGCTATAGGGCTTTACCAGCGGGAAACACAGTATTACAAGGACTCGAAATTTGAGGTTCCCATGGATACAGCTCGAAATCAGTACAACCTCGCTCTGGCGCATGAGAACAGCGGTCAACTGGACAAGGCCATGTCGCTGTATCAATCCGCATCAGAGATCACCGAGCGTCACCTGGGCCCCAGTCATCCACAGCTGCTGCGGTCCTATGGCAACATGGCATCGCTTTATGGCAAGCAAGGTCAAATGGAGCAAGCTGAGAGGATACTTGCCGTAGTCCTGCAGAACCAACGAAAGAGTCTAGGAGAAGATCATCCCGAGACTCTCGACACTCGGAGGAATGTGGCCATGGTACTTGAAGGGAAGGGCCAGATCAAAGCCGCCAAAGGCGAACTCGAAAAGATTCTAGCATCACAAATGCGCTTGCGAGATGAGCCCGCCATGCTGCGGACATCGTGCAGCATTGCCACAAACTATAGACTGCGCGGAAGGTTCAAGGAAGCTCGGGAATGGCTTGAGTCAACCTTGGCGGTACAGGAGAAGCTGCTAGGCAAGACTCATCATGATACCGCAACAACACGAGTGATGCTGAAAGAGTTGGCCGCAGTTGAAAAGACAAATGGCGTCCCGAATGAGGAAAAGAGTCTGGCATTAGTGCAACAGGACGTCAGATAAGGAAACGTAAGATATGTGGGACCCGGCGGGATGTTTTGTATAGGAGTATCATTACATACGGTAGGCAAACGGAGTGGAATGTATTGTAAGCAAACAACAAAGGATTAGATTGAGTTTGAGTGGATATAGAGTTGCGGCTGTGAATTGCTCTGTTAAGATCCTAATTGGAAAGGCACGACGCTGCCGTCGATCTTCAAATTGGCCGTTGGTGCTTGGCTCTAATTTGAGCAGCCTAGGACGACATTTTCTGAGGCCACAATAAGACCCAACTCGGTTACAGCAGACCCCGCAACAATGACACGGAACGCATTCATTCAAGAGGCGAGCAGTCGACATAAATTAAGAATCAGCGTTGTACCAGTGTCCAGCCATTGTCACCGACACTGATTTAGGTCAGACGGCGCACCGCGCAACAAAACTACCTCCTGCTGGCATATGTAACATAAGCGTCGCAAATTGATTACCGAGATCAGTCAATGAGACAGTTTGCTTTGAGTCACAACATCTTAGATCAATGATGTAAGGAAACTACATATATTGCGCTCAATACCAAGTCCAGAGAGACATTACCCACCATTTCAACTCTCATCTCCATAGAGCTTGAGTCTCTCCTTATCGACGTTCGCAGCTCCAGCTGCTGCTCCACTACATCTTTGATTATCTGGTCCCAAGAGCACCATTTGATCCCCAGATCCAATTCCGCCTTTCTGCTGCCTGTTCTCGCAAAATGAACCTCGACAACAGGTTGGATTGGAGTGCCGAGACCCGGCCGATTCTTTTGCATAATCTTGGTAATGTCCCGCCAGCTGCGACCATTGCCAGAGAGCACATATGACCCAGTCACAATTGAGTCGGACAGAATCCCGGCGTGCGCTTCCGGCGGAGGCAGGTAGCTTGAAGCATCCAATGGACCTGGCACGGTCCAAATTCTTGGTAGCTTCAACCCCCCCCNCCCGCCCGGCATATCAAAACCCGCATGAGACAATTGTTGTGGAATAATTGTCTGCTACACTTGACATACTTTCTTAGCTTGACGACGGAGGCTGACGCAGAAAAGATCGAAAAGAGTGAATACCGCGACATGAGCCGTGCCGACGCATTAACGTATATACTCGAACTTGCAGACGTAAACCGTTTGATAGAGCTCGGCCTCAACCGGACTGGTCTGATTGATGTGGGGGTGCTGGAGATGCCCACTAAAAGTGGCTATGGAGGCTTAGCTTAGAGTGGCTTTATAAATCCCTTCGGGACTTATAAGCCTTTATTTTTCGTTGCATTTAGCATATAAGACCATAATCTATCGTTTTTTTAATTAAAATTATTTTTATATATTTTAAGATTTTATATGCTATTTAATTAAAAACCATATAAAGGCCACAGCTTTACGGCTATCCGTTTTAAGTAGGGGTTAGTTTGGTTTAGTTTTTATTCTTTATCTTAAATAATGCTTAGCTATAGGATCAAACCTTTCGCATATTAATACGATTATATTTATACGCCGACGATACGATTACGCACGATAATTTTTTATAAAGCATTTTTAGTAAAATAAATTTAATTAAAATAATAAAAATATTTTTTCGTAAAAATAAGGAGAACCCCGATAATTTGCCTTTTTAGCCTAAACGGAAATGCTAAAAATTTATCGATATTTAGCTAATTACGGTAAAAAAAAGCCTTTATTTTTTTTATGCGTACGGAATAGCTAGATCGGCGTAATATAGTTATAAGCCTAATTATATTAAGCCGTAGTTATTTAGTTATTAGTATATTAATAATATTTTTATTATTAATACGGTATTTTTAATATATAGCATTTTAATTATTTTTATCCGCAAAAAAAAAAGGATATAGGTTATCCGGTTATCGCATAATTAATTTATATCGCTTAAATATCGGTATTTTAGATTTATTTATGCGATATACGACGAGTTTTATTATTTTAGCTTAATATTTATTAAATACGAATATTACTAAGATTTTATAAAATATATTTACTAAATACGAAAGGGAAAATTAATTAAATAATTACCGATTTTAAAAATAAGGCTTAGGATTATACGGTTTAACCGGTATTTTTAGTTTAATATTTAATTTTATTATTAAACGAAAATATTATTAAAAAACTAAATATAATTATTAAATATAAATTAAAGGCTAATAAATTAATTAACGATAACCGAAAAAAGCTTAAAAATTATAAAATTAAATAATTAATTTCGGCAATTGCTTTAAATATATTCCGGAAATATAACCCTAAATAGGATAAAAAGCTAATTATAAATATTAATATTAAATATATAATAATTATACGATAAAAAAAAATTAGATTTAATCCGCGATATTATTTTTATAATTATTTTAATTAATCTTAAATTATATTTTATTTCCTATTTTTATTTAATTTATTAAATTAAGTATTCGCTATATTAAATTTTAATATCGATCCTTTTAATAAAGAGCCTATTATTTCGGCTACCTTTTTAAATAGTATTAATAATATATTTAAAATCTAGCGATTATATAATTAACGTTAATTTATTCTTTAAACCCTTTTTTTTATTTAAATCCCTATTTATTATATTCCGATTATTCGGATATATATAATTACTTTTAGGGTTAACGAATATTCTAAATTTAAATTTAATAGCAAAAAGGCAATATCTTTTTTTAAAAGTATAAAAAAATTATTTAACTCCTATATTATAACTAATTAAAATATATTAAAAAAGCTGCTTTATTAAAGCGTTAGTAAAGTTATAAAGGATTATATACGAATAGCTATTAATAAATATAAAATTTAATTCGAAACTAAAACTAAAATTAAAATAACTTTTCGTATTAGAAATACTAAGCAAAAACGTATTTTAAAAAACCGACTTCGCGATTTAAAACGCGGTAATCCTATTAAAAATCTTATAGCAATATATAGCTATTATTTTAATTATAAAGTGTAACGACTATATTACGGGTTTCTAGAATAAACCTAAAGTATAAAAGGTATTGGGGTTTATGCTAATAGGGAACGGTAGTTTTAAAAAAAGGTATTAAGTAATAAGTATTTAAAGGTAAAGGTAATAGAATTAATTTATAAATATAGTCGTTAAAGCGTATTAAATGCTTTATTTATAGGTAAAATAAATGCTTAGATTAATTATTAAAATAATAATTATTTATATAGGAAATTTTTTTATAATATATATTTATTTATTCCTTTACTAATATTCCTTAAATTATAATACTAAGCCGATTTTATAGTTTTAGAATTAATAAAATTTAATAATCCTAATAATTTAACCGTTTAAATTATTGCTAAAATTATAATTTTATTAAGCAGCTAGCTAGCAGCTATTAAGGATAATAGTTTTTATTTTAATTTATTCCCGGCTTTCGATGCTAAGCCTTTCCCTTTTTTTTTAAACGCTAATATATTTATTTATTTTTATATAAAAATATATATTTATAATATTAGCTCTTTTTTTTATATCTTTTATCTTTAAAAGATTTTTAGGCTATTTAAATAGGTCGTGGTGCCTACGTGCCGTAATTATTTTATTTCCTTTTTTTATCGTTCTTTTTTGCTTTATTTATAATATATGCTTATTATATTAGAATTTTTATCGGAAATAACGAAAAAACGAAAAGCTTATAAACAAATTAAGCTTTTTAATTTTATTAAATTAAACGGTCGTATTATAAATATGCCGTATACGCTTTGCTTTAAAAATAAGCGTTTTTGCCGAATAACGGACGAAAAATCGATTCGTTATTTAAAATATATCGCGTATTTTTTTCGGAAGTATAATAGTATTTTAGTAGCTTTTACGCTTCGGAAGGTTTTAGATTAATAGCGGAAATTAAAAACCAAAAAAAAAAAGCGAATAATAGCCTTTTAGAATTTTACGAAAAAATAGCTAAGCTTTAATTTTTTTTAGCGGCTATTATTAATCGGTTATTTCGGATTCGGAAAATTAAAGCACGAATAAAGGCTTATAATTCCGAATTATTCGCTTATAATATAAAGGAATTAAATAAGGAAAATAGGGTTTTTTTTGCTTTTAAAAATTACAAATATTTCGTAATAAACGATTTTTAATTATTAGGTATCCCTAATAAGCCTAATTAATCGGTATTTAGTTTCGGAAATAACTTTATAAATTTCGGTCCTTTTATCGAAGCTAAAAATATTAGTTAAAAGCGATATAATTTTTAATATGCTTTTTAGGTTCCTAAGTATTTTTTTTAGGTAAGTAATTTTTTTATTTAACGTAAAATTAATATTTGCGTCCGATTTTTTTATAGTCGATAATTTTTTTAATAATATATTTTTGCTAATTTAGTTTTATTTTTAGTATTTCGTCGATTTTAGCGTTTTTTAGTGCTAATTCGAGTAATAAAATATAAAAGGTTTTATGGTTTTTTATAATTTTTTATAGCTTAAATCGGTAATTAATATTCGAAATTTTTTTATCGATTTTAAATAATCCGAGTTTTTTAAAATCGAATTTATCGCTTAATCGTTTCGTTTTAATATTTTTGCGTAAAAAATAAATTTTATCCTTTTTTTTAAAAATTAATTTTTTAATTTTTTTTATCGTATTAAAGTTTTATTTTTTATTAAATAATAATAAAGGTTTTTTAGAATTCTGCTTATAGATTTTTAAATTATTTAATGCGTAAAATAGCGTATAATATAAGTTTTTTTTTTTAGTGGTTTTTTGGTAATATCGGGTTTATATCCGTAATTAGCGTAGAATAGTGATATTTTAGTGGGTTTTCGTATTATATTATTATATGCGAATTATACAAGTGGTAATAATATAACTTAATTATTTTATTCGTAATTAACGTAGCATTTAAGGTATTTTTCGAGTATTTAATTTGCTCGTTTTATTTATCCGTTAATTTGCGGATAAAAAGCTATTAAAAGCTTATAATTGCACCTTAGCTAATTAATAAGTAATTTCCAGAATTTTAATATAAAGAATTTATTTCGATTT